TAAACACTTGGAGTTAGGACTAGGGTGTGTCCTGTAAGGTAGTGGTGGGTGGGACACAGGCCACACCCTAGATTGCCAAAAAACGACAAACAATTTAAAAAAAAATCGTAAAATAAAATCCAAAATATAGTTTTGTTTGTAATTAAACAAAGTCAAATACATTTTCAAATGACAAAGCGCAACTAATACCTGACAGTTCACCCCAAGTAAACTTGGAGTTAGGACTAGGGTGTGTCCTGTAGGGTAGTGGTGGGTGGGACACAGGCCACACCCTAGATTGCCAAAAATTGACAAACAATTAAAAAAAAAAGGTCAAATAGAATCTAAAATATAGTTTTGTTTGTAATGAAACAAAGTCAAATACATTTTCAAATGACAAAGCGCAACTAATACCTGACAGTTCACCCCAAATAAACTTGGAGTTTGGACTAGGGTGTGTCCTGTAGGGTAGTGGTGGGTGGGACACAGGCCACACCCTAGATTGCCAAAAATTGCCAAACAATTAAAAAAAAATGGTCAAATAAAATCTAAAATATAGTTTTGTTTGTAATGAAACAAAGTCAAATACATTTTCAAATGACAAAGCGCAACTAATACCTGACAGTTCACCCCAAGTAAACTTGGAGTTAGGACTAGGGTGTGTCCTGTAGGGTAGTGGTGGGTGGGACACAGGCCACACCCTAGATTGCCAAAAATTGCCAAAAAATAAAAAAAAATGGTCAAATAAAATCTAAAATATAGTTTTGTTTGTAATTAAACAAAGTCAAATACATTTTCAAATGACAAAGCGCAACTAATACCCAGATATAATTGTTTTAAAATAGAAAATCTGTGGTTAATTAGCTTTTTCGTCGCAATGGCTCCTAGCTCTGGTGCAGTCCTCTGGGTTGAACTGACCAATTATTTGCCCATGGAACAGTCTGTCTTAGTCTGCATCCAGAAAACCTGTATCCGTCTTCACAGTTAGGTAAAAGCTGCCATTTCAGTTCAGCTAAGTAGGGAAGTTGTAGTGTTGCACTATGTGCGGGGAAATTGGCAATGGACAAAAAGCGCACTGCGCATTGTATATCTTGGAAAGTTAGAAAATTAGACAAAGCTGGCAGTTCACCCCAAGTAAACACTTGGAGTTAGGACTAGGGTGTGTCCTGTAAGGTAGTGGTGGGTGGGACACAGGCCACACCCTAGATTGCCAAAAAACGACAAACAATTAAAAAAAAATCGTAAAATAAAATCCAAAATATAGTTTTGTTTGTAATGAAACAAAGTCAAACACAATTTCAAATGACAAAGCGCAACTAATACCCAGATATAATTGTTTTAAAATAGAAAATCTGTGGTTAATTTGACTTTTCGTCGCAATGGCTCCTAGCTCTGGTGCAGTCCTCTGGGTTGAACTGACCAATTATTAGGCGATGCTGGATGGCCCTCGGTGGACGCCTCGATGCTCCCCCGCACCCGGTGGACGGCGACGGCTCCTCGGGTGCCTTGGGCAGACGGCAGGAGTCCCCCGCTCCCTGCTCCTCCCCTTAACTGGCGGATGGCAGCAGGCTCCGGCCCACGGCAAGTGGCGGTGACTCCTCCTCTCCCTCCCGGAAGGCAGCCGCCCCTCCATTCCCAGGCGGTCGGCGGTGAGCTCGGCGTACCACCGGCAACGCACCCCAGCGCCCCGCCTCGAGTGTCCATGGCAGCGAGTCCCCCGCTCCCTGCTCCTCCCCTTATGCGGCGGACGGCAGCAGGCTCCGGCCCACGGCGAGCGTCGGCGACTCGCGCACCATGCTCGATGGCACTGCCGATTCCCCACAGCGGCGATGACTCTCGGACAGCCTTGGAAAGTTAGAAAATTAGACAAAGCTGGCAGTTCACCCCACGTAAACACTTGGAGTTAGGACTAGGGTGTGTCCTGTAAGGTAGTGGTGGGTGGGACACAGGCCACACCCTAGATTGCCAAAAAACGACAAACAATTTAAAAAAAAATCGTAAAATAAAATCCAAAATATAGTTTTGTTTGTAATGAAACAAAGTCAAATACATTTTCAAATGACAAAGCGCAACTAATACCTGACAGTTGACCCCAAGTAAACTTGGAGTTTGGACTAGGGTGTGTCCTGTAGGGTAGTGGTGGGTGGGACACAGGCCACACCCTAGATTGCCAAAAATTGACAAACAATTAAAAAGAAAATGGTCAAATAAAATCTAAAATATAGTTTTATTTATAATGAAACAAAGTCAAATACATTTTCAAATGACAAAGCGCAACTAATACCTGACAGTTCACCCCAAGTAAACTTAGAGTTAGGACTAGGGTGTGTCCTGTAGGGTAGTGGTGGGTGGGACACAGGCCACACCCTAGATTGCCAAAAATTGACAAACAATTAAAAAAAAAAGGTCAAATAAAATCTAAAATATAGTTTTGTTTGTAATGAAACAAAGTCAAATACATTTTCAAATGACAAAGCGCAACTAATACCTGACAGTTCACCCCAAGTAAACTTGGAGTTTGGACTAGGGTGTGTCCTGTAGGGTAGTGGTGGGTGGGACACAGGCCACACCCTAGATTGCCAAAAATTGCCAAACAATTAAAAAAAAATGGTCAAATAAAATCTAAAATATAGTTTTGTTTGTAATGAAACAATGTCAAATACATTTTCAAATGACAAAGCGCAACTAATACCTGACAGTTCACCCCAAGTAAACTTGGAGTTAGGACTAGGGTGTGTCCTGTAGGGTAGTGGTGGGTGGGACACAGGCCACACCCTAGATTGCCAAAAATTGCCAAAAAAAAAAAAAAAAATGGTCAAATAAAATCTAAAGTATAGTTTTGTTTGTAATTAAACAAAGTCAAATACATTTTCAAATGACAAAGCGCAACTAATACCCAGATATAATTGTTTTAAAATAGAAAATCTGTGGTTAATTAGCTTTTTCGTCGCAATGGCTCCTAGCTCTGGTGCAGTCCTCTGGGTTGAACTGACCAATTATTTGCCCATGGAACAGTCTGTCTTAGTCTGCATCCAGAAAACCTGTATCCGTCTTCACAGTTAGGTAAAAGCTGCCATTTCAGTTCAGCTAAGTAGGGAAGTTGTAGTGTTGCACTATGTGCGGGGAAATTGGCAATGGACAAAAAGCGCACTGCGCATTGTATATCTTGGAAAGTTAGAAAATTAGACAAAGCTGGCAGTTCACCCCAAGTAAACACTTGGAGTTAGGACTAGGGTGTGTCCTGTAAGGTAGTGGTGGGTGGGACACAGGCCACACCCTAGATTGCCAAAAAACGACAAACAATTAAAAAAAAATCGTAAAATAAAATCCAAAATATAGTTTTGTTTGTAATGAAACAAAGTCAAACACAATTTCAAATGACAAAGCGCAACTAATACCCAGATATAATTGTTTTAAAATAGAAAATCTGTGGTTAATTTGACTTTTCGTCGCAATGGCTCCTAGCTCTGGTGCAGTCCTCTGGGTTGAACTGACCAATTATTAGGCGATGCTGGATGGCCCTCGGTGGACGCCTCGATGCTCCCCCGCACCCGGTGGACGGCGACGGCTCCTCGGGTGCCTTGGGCAGACGGCAGGAGTCCCCCGCTCCCTGCTCCTCCCCTTAACTGGCGGATGGCAGCAGGCTCCGGCCCACGGCAAGTGGCGGTGACTCCTCCTCTCCCTCCCGGAAGGCAGCCGCCCCTCCATTCCCAGGCGGTCGGCGGTGAGCTCGGCGTACCACCGGCAACGCACCCCAGCGCCCCGCCTCGAGTGTCCATGGCAGCGAGTCCCCCGCTCCCTGCTCCTCCCCTTATGCGGCGGACGGCAGCAGGCTCCGGCCCACGGCGAGCGTCGGCGACTCGCGCACCATGCTCGATGGCACTGCCGATTCCCCACAGCGGCGATGACTCTCGGACAGCCTTGGAAAGTTAGAAAATTAGACAAAGCTGGCAGTTCACCCCACGTAAACACTTGGAGTTAGGACTAGGGTGTGTCCTGTAAGGTAGTGGTGGGTGGGACACAGGCCACACCCTAGATTGCCAAAAAACGACAAACAATTAAAAAAAAAAAACGTGAAATAAAATCCAAAATATTGTTTTGTTTGTAATTAAACAAAGTCAAATACATTTTCAAATGACAAAGCGCAACTAATACCTGACAGTTCACCCCAAGTAAACTTGGAGTTTGGACTAGGGTGTGTCCTGTAGGGTAGTGGTGGGTGGGACACAGGCCACACCCTAGATTGCCAAAAATTGACAAACAATTAAAAAGAAAAATGGTCAAATAAAATCTAAAATATAGTTTTATTTGTAATGAAACAAAGTCAAATACATTTTCAAATGACAAAGCGCAACTAATACCTGACAGTTCACCCCAAGTAAACTTGGAGTTTGGACTAGGGTGTGTCCTGCAGGGTAGTGGTGGGTGGGACACAGGCCACACCCTAGATTGCCAAAAATTGCCAAACAATTAAAAAAAATGGTCAAATAAAATCTAAAATATAGTTTTAATTGTAATTAAACAAAGTCAAATACAATTTCAAATGACAAAGCGCAACTAATACCCAGATATAATTGTTTTAAAATAGAAAATCTGTGGTTAATTAGCTTTTTCGTCGCAATGGCTCCTAGCTCTGGTGCAGTCCTCTGGGTTGAACTGACCAATTATTTGCCCATGGAACAGTCTGTCTTAGTCTGCATCCAGAAAACCTGTATCCGTCTTCACAGTTAGGTAAAAGCTGCCATTTCAGTTCAGCTAAGTAGGGAAGTTGTAGTGTTGCACTATGTCCGGGGAAATTAGCAATGGACAAAAAGCGCACTGCGCATTGTATATCTTGGAAAGTTAGAAAATTAGACAAAGCTGGCAGTTCACTCCAAGTAAACACTTGGAGTTAGGACTAGGGTGTGTCCTGTAAGGTAGTGGTGGGTGGGACACAGGCCACACCCTAGATTGACAAAAAACGACAAACAATTAAAAAAAATCGTAAAATAAAATCCAAAATATAGTTTTGTTTGTAATGAAACAAAGTCAAACACAATTTCAAATGACAAAGCGCAACTAATACCCAGATATAATTGTTTTAAAATAGAAAATCTGTGGTTAATTTGACTTTTCGTCGCAATGGCTCCTAGCTCTGGTGCAGTCCTCTGGGTTGAACTGACCAATTATTAGGCGATGCTGGATGGCCCTCGGTGGACGCCTCGATGCTCCCCCGCACCCGGTGGACGGTGACGGCTCCTCGGGTGCCTTGGGCAGACGGCAGGAGTCCCCCGCTCCCTGCTCCTCCCCTTAACTGGCGGATGGCAGCAGGCTCCGGCCCACGGCAAGTGGCGGTGACTCCTCCTCTCCCTCCCGGAAGGCAGCCGCCCCTCCATTCCCAGGCGGTCGGCGGTGAGCTCGGCGTACCACCGGCAACGCACCCCAGCGCCCCGCCTCGAGTGTCCATGGCAGCGAGTCCCCCGCTCCCTGCTCCTCCCCTTATGCGGCGGACGGCAGCAGGCTCCGGCCCACGGCGAGCGTCGGCGACTCGCGCACCATGCTCGATGGCACTGCCGATTCCCCACAGCGGCGATGACTCTCGGACAGCCTTGGAAAGTTAGAAAATTAGACAAAGCTGGCAGTTCACCCCACGTAAACACTTGGAGTTAGGACTAGGGTGTGTCCTGTAAGGTAGTGGTGGGTGGGACACAGGCCACACCCTAGATTGCCAAAAAACGACAAACAATTTAAAAAAAATGGTAAAATAAAATCCAAAATATAGTTTTGTTTGTAATTAAACAAAGTCAAATACATTTTCAAATGACAAAGCGCAACTAATACCTGACAGTTCACCCCAAGTAAACTTGGAGTTTGGACTAGGGTGTGTCCTGTAGGGTAGTGGTGGGTGGGACACAGGCCACACCCTAGATTGCCAAAAATTGACAAACAATTAAAAAGAAAAATGGTCAAATAAAATCTAAAATATAGTTTTGTTTGTAATGAAACAAAGTCAAATACATTTTCAAATGACAAAGCGCAACTAATACCTGACAGTTCACCCCAAGTAAACTTGGAGTTAGGACTAGGGTGTGTCCTGTAGGGTAGTGGTGGGTGGGACACAGGCCACACCCTAGATTGCCAAAAATTGACAAACAATTAAAAAAAAAAGGTCAAATAGAATCTAAAATATAGTTTTGTTTGTAATGAAACAAAGTCAAATACATTTTCAAATGACAAAGCGCAACTAATACCTGACAGTTCACCCCAAGTAAACTTGGAGTTTGGACTAGGGTGTGTCCTGTAGGGTAGTGGTGGGTGGAACACAGGCCACACCCTAGATTGCCAAAAATTGACAAACAATTAAAAAAAATGGTCAAATAAAATCTAAAATATAGTTTTGTTTGTAATGAAACAAAGTCAAATACATTTTCAAATGACAAAGCGCAACTAATACCTGACAGTTCACCCCGAGTAAACTTGGAGTTTGGATTAGGGTGTGTCCTGTAGGGTAGTGGTGGGTGGGACACAGGCCACACCCTAGATTGCCAAAAATTGCCAAACAATTTTAAAAAATGGTCAAATAAAATCTAAAATATAGTTTTGTTTGTAATGAAACAAAGTCAAATACATTTTCAAATGACAAAGCGCAACTAATACCTGACAGTTCACCCCAAGTAAACTTGGAGTTAGGACTAGGGTGTGTCCTGTAGGGTAGTGGTGGGTGGGACACAGGCCACACCCTAGATTGCCAAAAAATGACAAACAATTAAAAAAAAAATGGTCAAATAAAATCAAAAATATAGTTTTGTTTGTAATTAAACAAAGTCAAATACATTTTCAAATGACAAAGCGCAACTAATACCCAGATATAATTGTTTTAAAATAGAAAATCTGTGGTTAATTTGACTTTTCGTCGCAATGGCTCCTAGCTCTGGTGCAGTCCTCTGGGTTGAACTGACCAATTATTAAGCGATGCTGGATGGCCCTCGGTTGACGCCTCGACGCTCCCCCGCACCCGGTGGACGGCGACGGCTCCTCGGGTGCCTTGGGCAGACGGCAGGAGTCCCCCGCTCCCTGCTCCTCCCCTTAACTGGCGGATGGCAGCAGGCTCCGGCCCACGGCAAGCGGCGGTGACTCCTCCTCTCCCTCCCGGAAGGCAGCCGCCCCTCCATTCCCAGGCGGTCGGCGGTGAGCTCGGCGTACCACCGGCAACGCACCCCAGCGCCCCGCCTCGAGTGTCCATGGCAGCGAGTCCCCCGCTCCCTGCTCCTCCCCTTATGCGGCGGACGGCAGCAGGCTCCGGCCCACGGCGAGCGTCGGCGACTCGTGCACCATGCTCGATGGCACTGCCGATTCCCCACAGCGGCGATGACTCTCGGACAGCCTTGGAAAGTTAGAAAATTAGACAAAGCTGGCAGTTCACCCCACGTAAACACTTGGAGTTAGGACTAGGGTGTGTCCTGTAAGGTAGTGGTGGGTGGGACACAGGCCACACCCTAGATTGCCAAAAATTGACAAACAATTAAAAAAAATGGTCAAATAAAATCTAAAATATTGTTTTGTTTGTAATGAAACAAAGTCAAATACATTTTCAAATGACAAAGCGCAACTAATACCTGACAGTTCATTCCAAGTAAACTTGAAGTTTGGACTAGGGTGTGTCCTGTAGGGTAGTGGTGGGTGGGACACAGGCCACACCCTAGATTGCCAAAAAATGACAAACAGTTTAAAAAAATGGTCAAATAAAATCTAAAATATAGTTTTGTTTGTAATTAAACAAAGTCAAACACATTTTCAAATGACAAAGCGCAACTAATACCCAGATATAATTGTTTTAAAATAGAAAATCTGTGGTTAATTTGCTTTTTCGTCGCAATGGCTCCTAGCTCTGGTGCAGTCCTCTGGGTTGAACTGACCAATTATTTGCCCATGGAACAGTCTGTCTTAGTCTGCATCCAGAAAACCTGTATCCGTCTTCACAGTAAGTTAAAAGCTGCCATTTCAGTTCAGCTAAGTAGGGAAGTTGTAGTGTTGCACTATGTGCGGGGAAATTAGCAATGGACAAAAAGCGCACTGCGCATTGTATACCTTGGAAAGTTAGAAAATTAGACAAAGCTGGCAGTTCACCCCAAGTAAACACTTGTAGTTAGGACTAGGGTGTGTCCTGTAAGGTAGTGGTGGGTGGGACACAGGCCACACCCTAGATTGCCAAAAAACGACAAACAATTAAAAAAAATCGTAAAATAAAATCCAAAATATAGTTTTGTTTGTAATGAAACAAAGTCAAATACATTTTCAAATGACAAAGCGCAACTAATACCTGACAGTTCACCCCAAGTAAACACTTGGAGTTAGGACTAGGGTGTGTCCTGTAGGGTTGTGGTGGGTGGGACACAGGCCATGCCCTAGATTGCCAAAAAACTACAAACATTTAAATAAAATGATCAAATAAAATGTAAAATATAGTTTTGTTTGTAATTAAACAAAGTCAAACACAATTTCAAATGACAAAGCGCAACTAATACCCAGATATAATTGTTTTAAAACAGAAAATCTGTGGTTAATTTGACTTTTCGTCGCAATGGCTCCTAGCTCTGGTGCAGTCCTCTGGGTTGAACTGACCAATTATTAGGCGATGCTGGATGGCCCTCGGTGGACGCCTCGACGCTCCCCCGCACCCGGTGGACGGCGACGGCTCCTCGGGTGCCTTGGGCAGACGGCAGGAGTCCCCCGCTCCCTGCTCCTCCCCTTAACTGGCGGATGGCAGCAGGCTCCGGCCCACGGCAAGTGGCGGTGACTCCTCCTCTCCCTCCCGGAAGGCAGCCGCCCCTCCATTCCCAGGCGGTCGGCGGTGAGCTCGGCGTACCACCGGCAACGGCTCCGGCCCACGGCGAGCGTCGGCGACTTGTGCACCATGCTCGATGGCACTGCCGATTCCCCACAGCGGCGATGACTCTCGGACAGCCTTGGAAAGTTAGAAAATTAGACAAAGCTGGCAGTTCACCCCACGTAAACACTTGGAGTTAGGACTAGGGTGTGTCCTGTAGGGTAGTGGTGGGTGGGACACAGGCCACACCCTAGATTGCCAAAAATTGACAAACAATTAAAAAAAAAAAGGTCAAATAAAATCTAAAATATAGTTTTGTTTGTAATGAAACAAAGTCAAATACATTTTCAAATGACAAAGCGCAACTAATAGCTGACAGTTTACCCCAAGTAAACTTGGAGTTAGGACTAGGGTGTGTCCTGTAGGGTAGTGGTGGGTGGGACACAGGCCACACCCTAGATTGCCAAAAATCGACAAACAATTCTATATAAAAAAGGTGAAATAAAAGAAAAATAAAACTCGCGCACCATGCTCGATGGCACTGCGGATTCCCCACAGCGGCGATGACCCTCGGACAGCCTTGGAAAGTTAGAAAATTAGACAGAGGTGGCAGTTCACCCCACGTAAACACTTGGAGTTAGGACTAGGGTGTGTCCTCTAAGGTAGTGGTGGGTGGGACACAGGCCACACCCTAGATTGCCAAAAAACGACAAACAATTTAAAAAAAATCATAAAATAAAATCCAAAATATAGTTTTGTTTGTAATGAAACAAAGTCAAACACATTTTCAAATGACAAAGCGCAACTAAAACCCAGATATAATTATTTTAAAATATAAAATCTGTGGTTAATTTGCCTTTTCATCGCAATGGCTCCTAGCTCTGGTGCAGTCCTCTGGGTTGAACTGACCAATTATTAGGCGATGCTGGATCGCCTTCGGTGGACGCCTCGACGCTCCCCCGCCCCCGGTGGACGGCGAAGGCTCCTCGGGTGCCTTGGGCAGACGGCAGGAGTCCCCCGCTCCCTGCTCCTCCCCTTAACTGGCGGATGGCAGCAGGCTCCGGCCCACGGCAAGCGGCGGTGACTCCTCCTCTCCCTCCCGGAAGACAGCCGCCCCTCCATTCCCAGGCGGTCAACGGCGAGCTCGGCGTACCACCGGCAACGCACCCCAGTTTCCCGCCTCAAGCAGCCATGGCCGCGAGTCCCCCGCTCCCTGCTCCTCCCCCGCTCCCTTTTCCTCCCCTTATGCGGCCGACGGCATTAGGCTCCGGCCCACGGCGAGCGGCGGCGACTCACGCACCTTTTCGTCGCAATGGCTCCTAGCTCTGGTGCAGTCCTCTGGGTTGAACTGACCAATTATTTGCCCATGCCACAGTTTGTCTTAGTCTGCATCCGGAAAACCTGTATCCGTCTTCACAATTAGGTAAAAGCTGCCATTTCAGTTCAGCTAAGTAGGGAAGTTGTAGTGCTGTACTATGTGTGGGGAAATTAGCAATGGACAAAAAGCGCACTGCGCATTGTATACCTTGGAAAGTTAGAAAATTAGACAAAGCTGGCAGTTCACCCCACGTAAAAACTTGGAGTTAGGACTAGGGTGTGTCCTGTAGGGTTGTGGTGGGTGGGACATAGGCCACACCCTAGATTGCCAAAATCGACAAACAATTCTATATAAAAAAGGTGAAATAAAAGTTGAGGTATAGTTGCGTTTGTAATTAAACAAAGTCAAATACATTTTCAAATGACAAAGTACGACTAATACCCAGATATAATTGTTTTAAAATACAAAATCTATGGTTGATTTGCCTTTTCGTCGCAATGGCTCCTAGCTCTGGTGCAGTCCTCTGGGTTGGACCTACCAATTATTTTCCCATGGCACAGTCTGTCTTAGTCTGCATCCAGAAAACCTGTATCCGTCTTCACATTAAGGTAAAAGCTGCCATTTCAGTTCAGCTAAGTAGGGATGTTCTATTGCTGTACTATGTGCAGGGAAATAAGCAATGGACAAAAAGCGCACTACGCATTGTATACCTTGGAAAGTTGGAAACAGACAAAGCTGGCAGTTCACCTCACGTAAACTCTTGGAGTTAGGACTTGGGTGTTACCTGTAAGGTAGTGGTGGGTGGGATATAGGCCACCCCCTAGATTGCCATAAAAACAACAAACAACTAAAAAAAAAGGTAAAATAAAATCTAAAATATAGTTTTGTTTGTAATGAAACAAAGTCAAATACATTTTCAAATGACAAAGCGCAACTAATACCCAGATATATTTGTTTTAAAATACAAAATCTATGGTTCACGTGAGCACGACCTGATCATCAGTTTCCTGAGAGGAGCGAGGAGACTGAATCCTCCTCGTCCTCCTTTCGTACCCTCTTGGTACCTCTCAATGGTCTTAAATGTCCTGCAGAGGGCTTCCTTTGAGCCTCTGCAATCAGATGAGCTTAAATTTATGTCTTTGAAGACAGCGCTCCTGGTTGCACGGGCCTCCATCAAGAGGGTAGGGGACCTGCACGCTGTTCTCTGTTGACAAAGCGTGCCTGGATTTGGGCCGGGCCACTCTCACGTGATCCTGAGAGATGTGCCCAAGGTTCCTACCACTCCCTTCCAGGACCGGGTGGTGAACCTGCAAGCGCTGCCCTTGGAGGAGGCAGACCCAGCCTTGGCACTGCTCTGTCCAGTACGCACACTCCGTGCTTACGTAGACAGAACACAGTATTTCAGGACCTCAGACCAGCTCTTTGTCTGTTATGGTGGCTTTGGCTTACCAACAGCAAGGCTGACCCTGCCCCCTTGCCCTTGGTGTGACAGCGCACTCCACCCGGAGTGTGGCATCCTCTTGGGCTCTTGCACATCGCGCCTCGCTGGCAGACATCTGCAGAGCTGCAGGCTGGGCGACACCCTACACATTTGCCAGATTCTATTATCTCCCGAGTGGAGCCTGTGTCCTCTTGTGTACTCGCTAGTCCTGGACCCGCTCAGGTGTCTTCGCTTGCTCGCGATTCCACTCCACGGACTGGATACGTGCGATATTTTCCTCAGGTGAGCCTTCCTCTCTGAAGCCCTGAGTTCCTCCAGCACTGTTGACGCTGGCGCCAGTGTCTATTGCCTGCGCGTCGGCTAGGTTCCTCCTCTGAGCAACACCCACATGTGTATTTCCACTGTAAGCCTCCTTTGAGCATGTTTCTTTCCCTCGGCAAGCCACCTTGCCACTCCCAGAGTTGTAAGTTGCCACCCCACGGGCTGGTCACTCCAGTGTTCCTCCCTATGAAGCCCCCTCGGGCCATATGTGTATCCTACCCTCCTACGGGTAGACATGCTGCGGCATATTTGCTTTGAGATATGCTTCCCAGTGTACCTTGGTATTCCTGCGTTAAGTAGGACTCCTTCGTCCATGGCAATTTCACGATAGGGGGATCAGACTTTCGCAGGGCACTGGAAGACAGCTGTGGAGGTGGCGTGATTAAACGGGGCACCCATTCTCGTCATCCGACGTAACTCGGAGTGACTACAAAAGGGAACGTCTCGGTTACATATGTAACCCTCGTTCCCTGAGTAGGGAACGGAGACGTTACGTCTCCCTGCCACTTCCGCTGTACCGCTGGGTAGACGCCTGAGTTAAGTCTCGGCTCCTCAGCGAAGACATAACTGCCTTTGTGTGCGTATTCTCCATAAATACCCACGCGGTGGGGCGGAGATACGCTATGCAAATTCCGCAGACCCATGGCACTTCATAGCCATTGGCTCGTTTTATTATACTCGAAGATGATAGGCTTTCTAAGCGAAACCCCCATTCTCGTCATCTGACGTAACGTCTCCGTCCCCTACTCAGGGAACGAGGGTTACATTCGTAACCAAGACGTTTTTATCTGTCAAACAATTTGGCAAAAAAGCTTATTTTTCGCATTTATTTTTGGCCATATGACAGAGATCTGATATTCTATTTGTCGTGTTTATGTTTTGCATAAAACTAAAGAATATTTGGTACATCCGAATCCTATCAAAAATAAATAAATAAAATAAATGATAATAATAAAATAAAATATTCTATAAAATAAAAATGTGTCAAGGTCCTGGAACTGATTTTGTCAACATGACAACTTGACAGCTCAAAAATAAAACATGAGAAAACATGAGATGTGAACTTGCAAGAGAACACATATTATTTTACATTATTTTAATTATTTCTACATAACTCTTCAGTATATGCTGGCGTGCCTTAAGTATTTATTTACTATTTAAATTATGACTACATTGTTGTGTAATTATTGTCCCATTTTTATTTAAATAATTTAGCACTTTTTAAAACTTTTTTAAATGCCATAAATTGTGTATGACAGATATGATCATCATTTATTTTGCATGTTTAATATTTATAAATGATATTAATAAAATAACATTAAATATAATTTAGGAATTAATCTGTATAATAACATCTACAAATATAATAGTTAACTGTCTACCAAGCTCTGGCAATGTACATTTTATTAAAGGTGGAATACCTTTAATTGCATTAATTGCATTAAAATATACCAAAATCACAAGGCCAGTGTTATATATTTAGTTAAGATGGTAACTTACAATATTCCAAATGTTTCAAACAATGTTTAAATCGCGAGAAAATTTAGATTTTAACCAAGGAAACGGGGCGTGTGAGCAGGGGTGAGCTGGGAGTCGCCAGTCAATCGCGTCATATCCGCCTGGACAAATGCGGTAGTTGTAGTTGTGCGTTAGCGTCTATCAAGCAACAAACGTAAGCTTGTTTCGCGCATTTGTTATGGAATGGAGCACAATTATTCTTTTCATTTATTCTCGGAATGTGAACTGTTGGCTCTAAAGGGGGTCGCACACCGGACGAGAAGCGCCGCGCCACGTTTAGGACAACTCCACAGTATCGAACACCGGACGCGCACTTTCTCATCAGTGTATGGCCAGCAATATTGTTATGTTTAATGACAGGAAATGAAGATAATGTCTGTTCTATGTTATGATTGTACTGTACAATTAAATACAATCGTTGCTGAGTCTGCATTCTGAAAACTTTACCTCAGAGCATCCGTTAACTGAATGAATTGAGAATCTCACCTGAAAAATCTAATAACATCAGCAATTGTCATTCAAGCAGCTGATTTCTGTAAATGAATGCAAAACTATGCATATTGAAGCATAGGGTCGAAGTCAGGATCCATTAGCAACGATTTGAAACAAAAATAATTAAAATTTTATACAAAACTATGTAAATGGCGCTCTATGGAGCAGCAGGATTTTGAACACGGTCCTGAGGCGTTGCTGGGCGCCGCGGACAGACGCCGAATGGCGCCGCCGGTATGTGTACACTTATAGATAATAATGTGTTCGAATTTTAAATATGTGGCGCGACTCGGCGCTGAGCTTCTCGTCCGGTGTGCGACCCCCTTAACGTTAATTTTGTGAAACTTTAGCTGTGGCTGAATACTTACACGACATGAAAAGATGTGTCAAATGTACATGATTTTTTATTTTTATAAAGTTATCAAAAAGGAGGACCAGCCACATCAACTCCTTGCAAGAGACCTGCCCCTTCAAACCCTCTCCACCATAGCTTCGTCCAGTGACTCGTACAGTAACATCTGTGATAACTAATTTACTTTTAAACCTGACTTCTCTTGCGGTTATTTCAGTTTAAGGAAAAACAAGCATAAACGCAACATTTATAGAAATCGAACTTTACCTCATCCACGACAACTAATTTTCGATTCCCGTCTGACTGATTTATCCACGGTGGAGTTGAAAACAACAGTTCCCATCATTCCGCGTTCCTCCACGTCGTCATCAAGCAAAGCCGTTGTTGTTGTTTTGAATGTAGCGCCCTCTAGCGGCATCTAAATCTTAGGTATTGTAGCTTTAAGAGATTATCCAGATTTTAAAACAAAAAAAAACAATAGGCCTAACATATTTAAAGGGGGGGGGGGGTCTTATTTTTCATAAACTTTATTGTCAGCCGCGCTCTCCTCTGTCCTCGAACGAGCGGTTGACTTCCTGATTCTATGAAACTGCTCCCTCAGAAAAAGGTAATGGGCTCAGATTGGTTAGTTTGGCCCGGTGTGTTGTGATTGGCTAAACTGTCGCTCACGTTTTCCGGAAGGTTAACGTCCATTACCTTTACGGACGAAACTTGAGCTCCGGTCCAGATGTAAATATGTGTCGAACTGCAGTTCAGTTTGAGGCAGAATCAGACCGAGAAAGCGGCGATGAAGAGAGAACCTCACCACACACAGCTCTTAATAAACGTTTCTGAATGATAATTTGCTACATTTTTTAACTTTATGCACGTTTGTTTTACACAATAGCATCTGACTGGCAACAATAGCAACTAGCGTTGGCAAGTTTATGTTCTTGATCAAATCGAAAATAACGTCATAAAACATATATGCATGAAAAATACATTTACAACAATAGTGCTTATACAAAATTCAGGTCCATAATGTTTGTACGCATTTGTCGTAGACACAAAATAGCATAACCAGTAGCCTATAGTGGCTATAAAGCCATCGCTAGCCTTTGATAAAAATAAAACACAAGGCTACGTCTGGAATTATACATGCAAATACATTTAAAATGATGAAGTCTTAGCCTACTTACAGGTTGTGGCCCAACAAGCTGCCTCTGGTTTTAAAGTTGGAAGTGCTTCATGTTTTAGTAACAGTTTCTTGTTGAACTCGTGGAGATTCTGGAAGCTGTCTTCCGTAAAATCCGCAGCACAGAGAGCTAGATTTCGATCGTCATTTTCAGGAACATAATCAAACATAAATTGTATCCGTTGTTGACGAACTACAGCGTCCGTGGGAAGCTCGAACACAGAAGACCGGACAGCTGCGTGAACAACTCAATTGACGAGCAGGAGCTGCTGAAATATGCGCATGCCATTTTCTGCATATTCCGGGCTAGGGGTTGATGCAAATGTGTGGGTTAGTGACGTGTAAAACCCAGCTGTAGTCCCAATCCAGTCGTTTTTGTAGGCAATATACTTCCTGGTTTCTAAAAAGACGATATCTCTACTTACACTGAACTTTCGGCGCTGCAACTTTGCAGATACTGTTCATGCACCAACAGCAACATTACACACTATTTAAAATGAAGACGCAAACATGCATTAACCAGTGGTTGCGCCCGTGCCTTTGAGTTCAGGAAAAGCCCGGTGAGTAAAACCAGTCAACAAACGCGGTGAGTAAGAATCAATAAACACAAACAGGGTGAGTAATGTCTTGTCCTGTTGTCACCTGCGTCACATGTCACATCTTTAGTATAGCCTTCTCCGATGGCAATATAGGATTTGTTTGTGATCACGTTTGAGAATTCTGCTGGCTACTGTATACAGGCCACCAGACTTTATGAATTTCTTAACTTATAACAGGGGTTCTCAACTCCAGTCCTCGCAACCCACTGCTCTGCATATTGTGTATGTCTCCCTTACTTAACACACCTGATTCAGATCCTCAGCTCGTTAAGATAGACTCTACGGCTATCCTAACGAGCTGAGGATCTGAATCAGGTGTGTTAAATAAGGGAGACATACACAATATGCAGAGCAGTGGGTTGCGAGGACAGTTGAGAACCCCTGACTTATAAGATTGATAATATTAGGGACAAAATTATAACTATGCAACTGTCTGTCTACTACAGTATCGCATCAGGGGGTGCATTGTAGTCTCCCTGAGGAAAGATTAGTTTCAATTTCTGCTATAGGAGAGGAAGAATTTTGCGAACTCGTTAATTCATCTAAATCAACAACTTGTATGCTAGACCCTATACCGACTAAACTACTGAAAGAGATGCTTCCAGAGGTCATAGATCCTCTTCTTAATATCATTAATTCATCTTTGTCGCTAGGATACGTACCAAAAACCTTTAAGCTAGCTATGATAAAACTGCTTGTTAAAAAAAATGCAAGAATTAGGCAATTACAGGCCAATCTCGAATCTGCCTTTTCTATCAAAGATATTAGAAAAAAACAGTATTAATATTCAACAATATCATTGATCTGTGTTGTATTATCTTCATGTTATGACTGTGACGCTGCTTTGATACAATCTGTATTGTAAAAAGCGCTATATAAATAAATGTGACTTGACTTGATTAATGATGATTAGTCAAAAAAATGGTCAGGCCAATCAAATTGCCAGGGCGGGCTTTATTCGATGATCTGCAGTTACGTAATCATCACGTCATCAAAGAGCGCTTGGTTTGACCTGGTTTACAACAAAGATGACTGCAGCTGGAGAATAGAGATGTATAGATTCCGCTATCGCGTCTGTTTTTAGAAGAAATCGACAGCACATTAATTTTAAAGACGAACAGAGAACTGCAATAAAGGCATTTGTCGATCGTCAAGATGTGTTTGCCGTCCTTCCTACAGGATTCAGCGAAAGTTTAATTTATCATCTGGCTCCAATGGTCGCTAAGAAGACGGGACATTGTGGTTTGGGACATGTCAGTGTGGTTTCTCCTTTGGTCGCACTCATGGAAGACCAAGTTAAAGAAGCAACCGAAATAGGCATCACGCGATGCAAATCGTCAAAGCCATCGCTGCATCAAACAATGGTGACACTTTATTATACGTACTCGTACACCATACCCATTCTGGTAGTGACTGTACCCCTTATAAGCAGTGTATTTTTTTTAAATAAATTATTAGATGCTACTTGTCATTTTTGTATTTAAATCATCATTAAATACATAATTACAACATCATTTGGCTCAAGACTCAAATGAACACGCTTCTTTAACCTGGTGTCTTTTGTCATCTCTCCATTTATTCAAATCAGTCAAGTCGCGCTCCAGCCGTGTTATAAAGTTGAGACTCCAAAATGTTAGTTCAAGAATGTTTTTCGAGTTTGCAAGTACTCGGCGAATCCTTGAATTCATTTTGCAACCCCGGCAAAGGTCGTTAACACTTTTTTTTTTCTTTTAAATAATTTTTCCGGAGTGCGTGCAGTTCAGTTCTGTTGACAACTCGCTCAACATCCATCACTCACTGCGTTGCTCTTATTGTTTGTAGGTCTATCCAATTGCGTGCAGAGGTTTTTTGGGTTTTTTTCCTGGTTCGATTAAGACACGCCTCATAATCAAAGCCCTATTGAGCACTATCAGACTCACAGACTGAATAGAATATGAATTTGAGTAAATCCACTGTCTATGGACATCGCGTCCCGGATTGATTTGATACGGAACGAAACATTTTACATTTAAATAAGGGACAAAAAATAAAAATTCTTTGTAATCTTCTTTGATGAACCAAATCCCTTGAAACTTGCGTTTTCCAAGCATCACATTTCAGCAGTTTCAACCTATTTTTGCAATGTTTCATGGTGTGTCTGTGAAATGTCTCCGGCGCAAAACGCCAGATTTTTTATTTTCAGATTATGGATTTTTTTCTTGCACAAAATAAATTCAAGCACTTTCAAGAACCTGTGTCTATGCATGTTTATTTTTTCAAGAACTTTCCAGGGCCTTGAAAAAAAAAATCAGACTCACAAACTTTCAAGGATTTCAAGGACCCATGGGAACCCATGTGATCATCAGACCCAATCCTGCCTGTTTTAGCACTGCATTTCTTAAAGGGTTAATTTACACAAAGAAGAAAAGTCTAATTTATTCACCCTCATGACGGTCCAAACCTGGAAGACTTTCATTCATCTTCAGAACACAAATGAAGATCTTTTCAATGAAATCTAATCGATTTCCCCTCTGTTGACACCAAGTGACACTTTGATGCTTCAAAAAGTTTATAGAGATCATACAACTAATTAACATGAATTGAGCGGTTTATTCCACATTTTCTGAGAGATTTGATCACTTTATATGATGAATATAAGCTTTTATTCACTTTTATCATGGATAGATGCACTTTTATCGTGGATCGATGCACTTTTAACGCTTCAAACTGTTAGTTGCAATACACTGCCATTATAAATATATTCATCAACTCACACATCAGATGTGGTAAACAGAAGCTCAAGCATGTGTGCTTGATTTTCGTGAACCAATGAGAATCACGCGACAGCTTCCGTCTAAAGTTTTTAATTCGTTTTACAATTTCTTTATGAAGTGTTAAAGTGGTAGTTGCATCGCTGTCAGTGGGTGGACAGAAAAGGCTCAGATTTCATTAAAAATACCTTCATTTGTGTTACGAAGATGAACGAAAGTCTTTCGGGTTTGGAATGATACACACTGTTAACCTATTAATATGGTGTTTACAATGGATTTATTAAGCAAAAAAAAAAAAAAAAAAAAGACCATGGTCAGGTGTGTTGCAGTGGCAAACACTTTCTATTCAGGATTCAGTACATCGGACTGAATTCAGTTTTAAGTTAGTGTAAATAAATGACCATTTGGTGTAAATGAAGCACTCTGCCTCATCCAGAAATAAACTCAGGGTAGTGACCCAGAAATGGATTTATTTTCTGCATAGGCCCGGGTCAGTTGCCCCACACGTCAGAGTTCACTATCTCAGACTCGATGATGCGCGCAGTTCTGTTAGTGTTTATTAGCCACCATCTTGATGTACTGCAGGGCGTTGTGTGCCGCGGCGTTGTGGGCGTTACTGCTGGTCATGCCGGAGCCGTGACACACCGTCACCGGCCGGGTCGACAGCTCCACCAAACACTGGTATTGCCCGTTCACGGTGAGCTCATCTGAAGAACACACACACAATACTTACAGCGCTTAAAAGGAGAAGCTCAATTTAAAATAAAAATGGGCCCATGATTCACTCACCCCCTAATCATCCTATGTGTGTATGACTTTCTACTTTCAGACGAATACAATCAGTTTTATTAAAAACATCCTCGTAGATAGATGCACTTTCATCATGGATCGATGAACTTTTATCGTAGATAGATGCACTTTCATCATGGATCGATGAACTTTTATCGTAGATAGACGCACTTTTATCGTGGATAGATGCACTTTTATGATGGATGGATTCACTTTTATCATAGATGGATGCACTTTTATGATGGATAGACGCACTTTCATCATGGATAGATGCACTTTTATGATGGATAGATGCACTTTTACAATGGATAGATGCACTTTCATCATGGATAGATACACTTATGATGGATAGATGCACTTTTATGATGGACAGACGCACTTTCATCGTGGATAGACGCACTTTTATGATGGATAGACGCACTTTCATCATGGATAGATGCACTTTTATCGTGGATGGATGCACTTTTATGATGGATAGACGCACTTTTATCATGGATAGATGCACTTTTATCGTGGATAAATGCACTTTTATGATGGATAGATGCACTTTTATGATGGATAGATGCACTTATTGTCGATATATGCACTTTTATCGTGGATAGATGCACTTTTATCGTGGATAGATTCACTTTTATGATGGATAGATGCACTTATCGTGGATATATGCACTTTTATTGTGGATAGATGCACTTTTATAATGGATAGATGCACTTTTATCATGGATAGATGCACTTTTATAATGGATAGATGCACTTTTATCGTGGATCGATGCACTTTTATGATGGATAGATGCACTTTTATCGTGAATAGATGCACTTTTATTGTGGATAGATTCACTTTTATCATGATAGATTCACTTTTATCATGGATAGATGCACTTTTATCGTGGATCGATGCACTTTTAACGCTTCAAACTGTTAGTTGCAATACACTGCCATTATAAAAGTAAATCATGGGCCGATTTTCATTTTATAGTAAACTATCCCTTTAAGACACAAAACAACACACAGGAAGAAAGTGAGGAGCAGGAACGCACCGAGGTCTATGTATGCGACCTGAAAGCCCAGCTCCAGCGAGACCTCCAGCAGCATCTGGATGTAGTCTGTGTTGGGGATGCTGAGAGGAGTCATCTTCAGGAGAGAGATCTTCTCGCCCGTCGACTGCCGGAAGCTCTCCACATACACACGAGCAGGAGGGCTCTGGGGACCACATGACACGTCACACAAAAACAGTCACATGGGGCAATTTATTTAAATATAGATTTATACATCATATGAAAGCTGAGTAATTAAACTTTCCATTGACGTGTGGTTTGTTAGCTTAGGAGAATATTTACATACAATAGGTCAATAGATCTTGAATCTGCAGGTGCAAAAAAAAAAAAAAAAAAAAAAATCGAAACATTGAGAAAATCGCCTTTAAATTTGTGCATTTATGTTCACGATTGTGCAGCACTCACAAAAATATATGTTTTATATATTTACAGTAGGAAATGTACAAAATATCTTCATGGAACATGATCTTGACTTAATACCCTAATTAATTTTGGCATAAAACAAAAATCTATAATTTTGACCGATACTATGTATTGTTGGCTATTGCCACAGATACACTTGTGCGACTCGTGATCCAGGGTCACATATCATCTAAAGCCCAATCCTGAGCTTGTTGGCGAGACTGTGCTTGATGGAGACTCACTCAGCCATGATTCAATGGCAAAACAATTCCTCATGCTGAAATATTGATGAAACGGCTTGCAAATGCTAATCTCTTATGAATCAAGGTGACGTGTTAAATTCTTCAGGCACTTTATGTTCCAGGGCTGATTTTTCATTGTTACATGAAGGTCACATTGAAACTGCATTGGAAACTTTTTACCACGTCTTTTTGTCATTTACTTTGTCTACTTAAATGTGTAGATCTTACTGTTTTATTTTCGTCACAGAGCCAAGCATTCAATCCCAAACTATGAAATTTCATCGTGAAGACATGAGTTATGCTCATATGCCTATGAAAAGGTTTTTAATTACATAATAAAAATGTTCAATCAAAATAAAGTCATGTTTCAGAGTGAAGCGTGGCACTGTGTTCTTGATTCATTGTTATTAATAAGACACTTTCCCGGGGTCAATATTTTGTTGATTTTGGAGCAACATTTCTGTCCAAAAATGTAGTCCTAACCCCATCCCAAACCCATATCCCAAAATCCATCCCAAACCCTATCCCATATCCCAAATCCATCCCAACTTCAAACCGAACCCTGAACCCACATATAAGTTGTTGACCAAACCCTGGTTGTAGGCATAACCTTGACAAAAACTGCAAACTTGTCCCTCAAATCTGATTGGTTGATTATGATGTTGATCCAGGATCAGCTTGGTGAAATCACGTTCATTGGGATCAATTACAGAAATCCATGCAAATACTGAATGTTTTTTAGATGTGCACTCCTTAAAGGGATAGTTCACCCAAAAATGAAAATTAGCCCATGATCTACTCGCACTCAAGCCGACGCCGTCCTAGGTGTACATGACATCTTTTTTCAGACGAATGCTATCAGAGTTAAATATAAAAAAAAATGTCCTGGCCTCTTCCAAGCTTTATAATGTCAGGAAGCGAGTTATCAGGGATGAGATTGTGCGAGTGAAACCCCAGCATAAAAGCACTTTTTACTTTTGAAACAGTTTTTATCAGCCATTTACTGCATGAACTACCAGGAACTGTGATGAGTGACACACATGGAAATATGTTTAACAGATATAATTTATTTCTAGTAATAGAAAACAAGACGTCTGAACTTATCTTTGGGGGAAATGTAAGGATAACGATTCTGTAGTTCTGTAAAGAAAACAACTGTTTCCAATACCGATCAATCTCATTTAGCAAATACAATTCCACTCAAACTTCTACAATAGGAATAGGCAACACAATGTGTTTTGGTAAACTGCACATCATATTCTGGCTACAGATAAAACAACCTAAGAACCAATTATGAATTATATTAATGCTTTTTACGCATTAGAAAATGAAGACTACACAATCTTATCAGCATGATGAATAAATTATAGCAACTGGAATAAACCGTACACAGAACGGGAGCAGAGAATGTGACCGATCGAGCTTTGCGTGCTCTTTACACGCATCCAATAAGCAATTTAGCACCGTAGGCTACATATGATAGTATGCACTTGTTTAGCCTACCAGATGCACGTTTTGCTTTTGCGTATAAAGAGCGAGCTGCCTAATAAAAGCACTCGTGCTATAGGCCCCGAGTTATAAATTTCAACGACTTACCCAAAACTTCCAAACGCACCCGGTTTTATTTTAGTCGATAAAGTTTTAAATATGGATATTTTTCTTACACAAACTCATTGCTTCGCTTCAGAAGGCCTTTATTAACCCACAGGAGCTGTGTGGAGCACTTTTAGATGCACTTTTATCATGGATAGATGCACTTTTATCGACTTCAAAACAGAAACAGCCATTCACTCCCATTATAAAGCTTGGAAGAGGCCAGGACATGTTTTAATAGAACTCTGATCGTATTCGTCTGAAAGAAGAAAGTCAGATACACCTAGGATGACTTGATGGTGAGTAAATCATGGGCTATTTTTTATTTTTTGGTGAACTAACCCTATAAACCTAAGGATTAATCAATAATTTCCAGTGAAAGAATCCCAACACATCTCTGAACGGATGAAAGTCACTAACCCACGTGATCTCGGTAGACCCGGACAGACTCTGCAGTTTCTCCAGCATGCGTTCAGCGGCTGCTCGTCTGGCCAGCTTCTTCGAGCTGCCGGCCCCTGATGAGCAAAAGCACATGACACGGCATCAGTCCTCCTGCGCTCAGCCTGAGCTGAGGTGTCTGTGTGAAAGAGCTGACGGCACCTGACTCCTCCAGGCCCTCCAGACGACAGGTCACGGTGAACTCCTTCATGTGATCTGGACCCGTCTCCATACACACCAAATACTCCGGCAGACACCACACCCGCTGCATGGCCAGTTCCTCACAAAACACACAACAGAGTTTAAATCAAAACTGACTTTTTTGTTGACAGAAAATTGCAGTATTTAATATAAATTATGTATCTGTGCACATCATTTTTTAAATACATGTGCCCTTTATAATATGCACCCACAGCTAGCCTAGCTTAGCACAAAGACTGGAAGTAAATGGCTCCTGCTAGCATTCTGCTCCCAATAAGCGACAAAATAATAGCAACATTTTCCTATATGTTGTGATTTGTAGAAGTATGCAAACGCAGATGCAGCAACGCTGTTTTCCATAATAATAATAATAATAATAGTTGTGGTTCAATATGTGAAGAGCTTGATCAGATACCTGCAGTATTCCCACAGGATTGGACCCGTCACCGCCTTCAGGAAAAAGACCATTGTCTCTCTGAGTCTGACCACTGTGAAAGATTCAGAACATTTGGATCAGTTTTAACGGAGGTAATGAACCTATAATGGTTTATTTCCCTCTCTCTACGGTGTGTATTTTACTTTGGCAGGGGGTCTCGTTTCAATAATTTCAAGGCGGCTTCTGCAGCGTCATGTTTAGCCGCCTTTTTAGTCGCTCCTTGCCCTTTAAGAAGAAAAAAACGATTATCTAAAATACTAGTGTACACTTACTTACTTATTCATACCTGATGCTATTATAATACTCATGGGAATAAAAGATGACCTTTGCATGTGACATCTCCTATGGTGACACCGAAGATGAAGGAAGAAGGCTGGTGCGCGTCTCCGTCAGCGAGAGCGTGTATGAGCTCGTATTGGGGCGCGCTGCCGATTTTGATGCCGTATTCGTGCAGGATCTGGATTGGCGTTTTATCCTGACAGCAGACTCGTTGATGAGCCATCGCGACACTGGGACTAGAACAATATGTGTGTTACCACGTCAGAATAATGAGCAAACAAAACGCAAAGAGTCCAACAGGACAAATACAGCTCCAAAACACATCAAATATAACGTTACAGTGTTGATATTGAGCACTGCGTAAGAGACACTAAACAATAACACATCCTGCCCATGTAAAATAGTCTAGCGCCCAACTCAGTCCAACCCGATGCAGATATTACATTAAACAGACACGTACGTGTTGAAATACAGCGATTGTTAAATGTAGAAGAAAGAAGAAAAGGTTGTATGGGTTCCTTACTGAGAATCAGCCATTATTGCTATCCGTATGCCGCTTCTACTTTGATTGGCACAAGCATTGGCCAATAGAATTCCTCTATACTGAGTATAAGCCCCGCCTTCCAAATGGACCTCCTCCAGGGAAAGCCCCCAAGCTGAGCCCAAAAATGCGTATCGTTGTGGAGGAAACTGGAAATGTGCCTTTCTTGAGTGAAAGTCAATGGAGGATATTCCTCACGCACTGCTTGATCAGATTTGTAGGTTAAACTTTAACATTATTTGCATATATATCATATCATAGAGCCATTCATGTTAGCCGTAGTGAGGAATGGTTGCTATGCTATCACACTTTCAATCAGATTCTCGGGCCCCGCCTCTCATACGTTTGTGTTGGTGTGTGTGTTTATTATGTCTAGTGTCACTGGCCCATAGCGATTACATATATAAAACAGTATACTAAACCAAACTATATATAATTTGAAAGCGTACAATTATGTATAGGTAACAACGGCTCTGGTTGTGACAATCAGATTTAAAGGGACAGTTCACCCAAAAATTACAATTTGGAAGGGACGTAAGTCTTGCAGACTGCAGACAGATAAGATTGGGTAGATGGGCTCTGATAAAAGGGGAAATCTGTTGCTGTTGTTTATTGTAATTCCACCTTTAATAAATAATGGAGATCTACTAAATATTAATGAGATGGAAAAAAAAATCAGAAAAGCCCTGAGCATGTACAAACTCACAGAAAACACAGCCTCACAGAAATACAACTGCACACAAAATTAGGACTTCCACCAGAAACCACCCAAGGCCAATGACAAATCATTGAACCAAATTCTTTTGTATTTGTTTTAAAATACAAACTTTCACTTTATTGTTATTGTTTATATGATATCTTTTTTATTTTTGATTACAAGTATATTAATGTATGACGTTACTAATGCAATGTGAAGCTTCCTTTTACTGTACCAAAATAAATCTTAAAGGAACAGTTCACCCAAAAATGTAATTTTGATCATTTATTCGCCCTCGTGTTGTTCCAGACCAGTGTATTTCTTTGTTGAACAAAAAATAAGATATTTAAAAAAGACTTTTTAAAGAAAATAAGTGACACCAAAAAAAATCGAACACCCAATAATGTGTAATTTCTTTGAATCTCCTTTCGAATACAACATTCCAATTACTAGACAAAAAAATGTAATCCTGAGAAAAGTATATTTTGAGGGGAATTCACCTTTGGCTAAGCCCCGCCCCCCTTAGTTACCGTTGCTACATCCATCAAACTTCATCTGCGCTCTGCATGGCTTATGTTTCTGCAACAGCTCTTCCTGCTGAAATGTTATCAAACTTTTATAAAGCAGCAAATAAAGTGTCCGATAAAAGTAAGCAAAAGAGGCTACAATATGCGTTCGAACGAAGGCTATTCAAGACATACAGGTGAAACGCAAGAAACAACAAGGCATCCAAAATAGAGGCAAAAGCATAACGTAACCGGTCACAGTCAAAAAATGAACCACCGCATTTCCTACTAATGGAGACGGAGGCTGGGACTAGTAATATCAGGGAGCAACCTAATAGCCTGCCGAAACCAAAAATATGAGACGCCTGTGTTGAAAGTCAATGGAGCGCAGTGAAAAAGTGTCCGACCTCTGTGGGATCTCGTTCTTGGCTGCGCTGTGATTGGTCAAGCTACATTCTAGGGTGTGGCTTAGTCAAAGGTGAATTTCTCCATAGACCTCCATTCATTCCGCACTCGTCCTGTGAGCGCCCTCATCTGGAATCAGAGTGGAACTGCAACCAGTTCAGAAGCGGAAGTTACTGAGAGTGGAAGTTTTCCCTATATTAGGCATTAAACAAATATTTATATATATATATATATATTTGTTATAACTGTCATTATGTCCTGACAGTAGAGTATGAGACAGAAAATCTGTAAAAAAAAAAAAAAATCAAGCTCTGGCTACTCCCAGTGGTCCTATTGCCATTTGCAGAAATACACCGCTCCCGGTCAGAAACAACCAATCAGAGCCAGTAGGAGTGTCTTAGCAGTGTCAATCACGCTCGTGTACGCGCTGATCACACCCCTCTCTTCCCCGGCGTACTGCCGTTCAAACCAAACTCAAGATTGCCGGTGTGCTGCAGTTGTGCTAATGGCGGAGAAACAACCTAAACTGCTCATTTTCCGAGTGACACCTAATCATAAAACAAAGAAGGGTAAAAGGAAAAAATGATGACGATTTACAGGCGAAAAAGAAAGAATTATCGCTGAATTATCCATTGTCGCTGAAATAATATTGTGGCGAGCAGGACCAGGCCGAGGGACCGGGACATGAGAGTGGCGGACACGAAATGGGCTGATGGCACAATGTGGCTGTGTGCATTGTCCTATTTGTCAAGTTCAAGGGTCTATAAAAACACTGGTGCTAAAAAAAAGTGGTCAAAATTTGGTTTTCATTAGGGCAGTACATCATCCTATTTCAAGGCCTCGGTCTGCTTTAACATACTCTATGGCGTAGAAAGCACACAGTGAAATGGGCTGATGGTGCAATATGAGGCTCAGTGTGCATTGTCTATGCTAAGGTTAATGGTTTCATGCGCACATTAAAGTCTGCATTTTTTTTAGTGGCTCTGTAAGAATGCTAAGAATATCATGAGAAGAAACCCAAAACGCTCATAACCTGCATTTTTGCATAATCCATTTATTCATCATTTTTGTCAATCACTAAACAGCTGCCACGAAAACACACTTTCTGTATGATAAATTTATTTTCATTAAATTCTTAATTTTCTCTATCATATAAAACTAAATTGGGCGAATAATCTGGAAATGCAAATATTTTTTTTCCATACTCGCCTTTCTTTTTTACATACTTTTCCAGACCTGGAAATTTCTAAAATCAAATTCCATACTTTTCCAAACGGCGTAGGAACCCTGGAAAGTTTTTCAACAGCTTCTTACAAAAGATATTCACCAAAAAATATTGCAATATTAATAGAATTCGTATGTACAGTAGCAGTAGCCGATCTATTGGACCACCCGAGGATCCATAGAAAGGTTCATTCAAGTAGTACAGTAAATTGCATAGATGGTAATGTTTGGCAAATCGGAAATTATGGTAAATTTTGAAATGGCATTATAAATATCTCAAATATTTAATTTCCTTTTTTTGTGCATGGGGGAAGCGGAAACTGTCACGAACGGGGAGTATTTTCCGCAATCCCTAATCTCAAGTAAAACCAATGATACGGCTCAGCATGTGAATACCCGACGACGGGCCGGTGAACTGGAGGACATCATGGAGGGGGAGTTGTGGGAGGAGGGAAAACCACTCTCTTGGTGAGGGTGAACTCCGGCTGTGGCATCTGCTTCCTCAGACCACTCTTGTCCGTCTTCCTGCTCACGTCTCCGTTCACCTGCGTCAGAATGGACAGTAGATCTGTCCCCCTGCATGCACACGACACAGTTAAGCTTAGTTACTTCCATCTCAATCAGTGCATTCATTCATTGCCAAACATGCTTGAGGGATTTATATCCACATATTAATATAAGCATATTAAACTATACATAATGCAATCCACTAATGTACAGTATATTAGGAGTGGAGTATTGAATGCTGAATACTGTGCAGTGTACCATACTCAAGCACAAAAATGGTAACTTTAAATGCGTGACAGCCAAATTCAGCCAATAAATCAAGAGGAATAAAAAGGAATATGCATACAAAACAAATCTGCACACTGTGCAAGGCAAGGCTACGTATTATATATGCTAAGCTAAAATATAGTGTCGCAGTATTGCTATTGACAATAAATGTGATATTAACCTGAATATTCAATGTTTTAAATATCGCATACACGATAATATCGTAAATAATTCAGCGCCAGGATCTGGTTTATACTCCAGTATAAGATGCGGCGTGTCAAGAGACTCTACCTACACATGGAAAAAAGTTGTTACACTCTCAGAAAAAAGGTACAAAAGCTGTCACTGGGGCCGTACCTTTTCAAAAGGTACACTTTTGTACCTTAAGGGTGCATATCGGTACCTTAATGGTACATATTAGCACCTAAAATGAACATATCAACACTTAAAATGTACATATTAGTACCTAAAATGTACATATTAGCACCGGAAATGTACATATTAGCACCTAGAATGTACATATCAACAATTAAAATGTACATATTAGTACCTGAAATGTACATATTAGTACCTGAAATTAACATATCAACACTTAAAATGTACATATTAGTACCTAAAATGAACATACCAACACTTAAAATGTACATATTAGCACCTGACGTCCAGATTCAGGTGGTATACAGTACATATTAGCACCTAAAATGAACATATCAACACTTAAAATGTACATATTAGTACCTGAAATGTACATATTAGCACCGGAAATGTACATATTAGCACCTAAAATGTACATATTAGCACCCAGAATGTACATATCAACACTTAAAATGTACATATTAGCACCTAAAATGTACATATTAGCACCTAGAATGTACATATCAACACTTAAAATGTACATATCAACACTTAAAATGTACATATTAGCACTTGAAATGTACATATTATCACCTAAAATGAACATATCAACACTTAAAATGTACATATTAGTACCTAAAATGAACATACCAACACTTAAAATGTACATATTAGCACCTGAAATGTACATATTAGCACCTAGAATGAACATACCAACACTTAAAATGTACATATTAGCACCTGAAATGTACATATTAGCACCTGAAATGTACATATTAGCACAAAAAATGTACATATTAGCACATAAAATGTAAATATTAGTTAGGGTGACCATATTTTAATTACCAAAAGCCAGGACACTCGGCCCGGCAAACAGATCATTAATTTGGCCTACTCAAATGATACTCAAAGTTTACTCAAAGATACCTTATTAATTTCAATACATTTAAAGTAGGTTATGCCTCCTCTGTATGGATAGAAAATTATTATATTGTTATAAGAAAACAGGACATGTCCTGGGAAAACAGGACAGTTGGTCACCCTATATTAGTACCTAAAATGGACAAAAGTGTACCTTTTGAAAAGATACAGCCCCAGTGACAGCTTTACCTTTTTTCTGAGAGCGTATACGCCTCGGTATAGTCAAAAGTTTTGTCCCCAAATGACACTTATAACATATAAAAGGATGGTTACTGCGACATTTGTATATATTCTAAATAAAATTCAAAGATTGTACTGAATGTTTGCTTATTTGGCTCAAGATAAGGCTTTATTAAGTCCTCATGTCATGCAAACAAGATACTCTAAATGTTCGTTAAATCTGTTTTCGGGAAACAGCGACTCGAAACTGCTGATAACGACGGAAGTTGACCACAGTTGTCTAACGATGCTTTCGGGAAACAGTGACTTGTTGAACTGCTGATAATAATGTTTATGAGTTTTACATAAACTTATGCAGGGGTGTGAAGTCCAGGTTCAGGCAGTAAAAGTCCTCCTCGGTATTTTGTTCCGATCACCTGGATTTGCTAATTAGCGTTTTTTCAGCCAGGAGACAGAACTAATTAGTGTAATTAGCTGGTGAAATAAACATATGGCAGGACTTCTACTCTCGGACCCCTGTGCTGCGTCCCAATTCACCTACTTATAGTACGCCATTTATCTAAACCTCTCTATAACCGCCAGACTCGCGCGTCCTCCATTTCTGTAGTTTTTAAACACTTTTCACTCGTGTTTGTAGTTCTAACCGAATCCTCGTCCAATGCGCGACGGGTTGTGGGCAATATCAGCCGTTAGAGTGTGCGTCGATCCGCACTTCTGGATATAGTAGACCATCTGGGTCTCTTTGAAACACTCATTTCAACATAATACGATTTGGCACATACTAATTCTATTTTCCAATACTTTTAATATGCGAATTGGGTCGCAGCACTGGACTTTCCAGCTCTGCTGATTGAATAGCACTGTGTGGTCTTGGAGGTGTGCTCACCTTGGCACCAGCAGCTTCAGATTGTGGCAGAGGGACTGTATGAACCAGGAGCCCTTGCCCTTTTCCCTGAATGAGACATGGTAAGGTACGGTTGCGGTGGCTAGCAGGTAGTCCGCCGCCTCGGGGATGGAGTCTCTGGGTACAGCTGCGTCGCTGACCGGCGTGTCCTCATCTTCTGGGAAAGATTGACCAAACACTGCTCTCTGCTCTCTGGTGCCCCTGCAGGCCTGGATGAAGAACAGTTTGGGTTTCTGGAAGAGAGAGGGGCAGCACACTGGACTCAGAGTCTCCGTCAGCTCTCTGACGGTGACGGTCTGTCCATCGACCCCGGCGATGCCATCCACGCGCCCGTGGCTCAGCACGCAGCACACCACGCAGTCCGCCGGTGTGTGGTCACGGGACGCCAGATCCTTCAACACCTGCAGCATACGCATGCGATCGCAGTTCTCCTCAACCACCACCTCGAAGCCCAACCACTGGAACACAGCCTCCAGACTGGCTGCACACACACACACACAAGTTACGCACAGTGAGAAACCGAAGTAACCACTTCAAAATAGTTTGTAAAATATTTCAATGATCAGCTGTCCACTAATTTGTCCGCTTTATGCTGGTTCTCTGCATTTGTGCTCTCTCTCTCTCTCTCTCTCTCTCTCTCTCTCTCTCATACTTATTGTTTATGGATTTATCAAAGACACAAAATTCATGTAGTTTACTTGCTGTCATCGTCCTCCTGCCACATACTCTCTTTGGTCATGGCTCGCTGGTTTGCATTAAGAAAAAAAAGTTATGGATATTGTGTTTTAGTGCTCAATCTTCCAACTAGTGGTTAAAGTATGGAAGCTTGTTTCCGCCACTGAATATAAAAATACAATGAATAACTGTGACTTTTTATCTCACAATTCTGACTTTTTTTCTCACAATTGTAAGTTTATATCTCGCAATTCTGACTTTATTTCTCAGAATTGCAAGATAAAAAGTCAGAATTGCGAGATATAAAGTCAGAATTGCGTGATATAAAGTCAGAATTGCGTGATATAAAGTCAGAATTGCGAGATATAAAGTCAGAATTGCGTGATATAAAGTCAGAATTGCGAGATATAAAGTCAGAATTGCGTGATATAGTCGCAATTGCAAGATATAAAGTCAGAATTGCGTGATATAGTCGCAATTGCATGATATAAAGTCAGAATTGCGTGATATAAAGTCAGAATTCCGTGATATAAAGTCAGAATTGCGAGATATAAAGTCAGAATTGCGAGATATAAAGTCAGAATTGCGTGATATAGTCGCAATTGCGTGATATAAAGTCAGTGTTATTTTCTGAGAAAAAAAGACCGAAGTGCGACTTTTTATCTCACAATTCTGATTTTTTTTCTCACAATTGCGAGTTTATATGTAGAAATTCTGACATCTTTTCTCAGAATTGTGAGATATAAACTCGCAACTGCGAGACCCTCAGAATAGTTTAAATCTCACAATTGTGACTTTATATCTCGCAATTCTGACTTTATTCCACGCAATTGTGACTTCATATCTCGCAATTCTGACTTTATATCTCGCAATTCTGACTTTATAACACGCAATTGTGACTTTATATCTCGCAATTCTGACTTTATAACTCGCAATTCTGACTTTATAACTCGCAATTGTGACTTTATATCTCGCAATTCTGACTTTATAACTCGCAATTCTGACTTTATAACTCGCAATTCTGACTTTATAACTTGCAATTCTGACTTTATAACTAGCAATTGTGACTTTATATCTCGCAATTCTGACTTTATATCTCGCAATTCTGACTTTATATTTCACAATTCTGACTTTATAACTTGCAATTCTGACTTTATAACTTGCAATTCTGACTTTATATCTCACAATTCTGACTTTATATCTCGCAATTCTGACTTTCCATCTCGCAATTCTGAGAAATAATGTCAGAATTGCGAGAAGTAAACTCGCAATTGTGAGAAAAAAAGTCAGAATTGTGAAATAAAAAGTCCCAATTACCTTTTATATTTTTTATTCTATGGCGGAAACAAGCTTCCATATTAAAGTACTCAACTACCCATCTAGGATTTTTAAAATCTTTGTTAAAGAGTTATAACCAACCAAACTAACCAACTACAAGGTGAATCGCAATGATACAAACTAGTTTCAAAGCAAAAAAGTATTTAAAAATCGAACAAAAAGACAAACACTGTGTACTTAACACTGTGTATTTGACAACTTTAATTAGGGAACTATCCATTCCTTTAGGAATGAATTAATTCCATTAATAATATCCATTAATCCCATTAGTATTAGAACTCAATGACTTCCTTCTAGTGGTTAAAGTACTCAACTACCCAACTAGTCTGTGCAAACTCTATTATGGATTTTTAAAAGTCTTCGTTAAACAGTTATAAGCAATGAACCGAATGTAACAAACTCGTTTCAAAGAAAAAAAAAAGTATTTAAAAAAAATCGATCAAAAAGATAAAGATGCAAGACTGTGTGCTTAGTGACTAACAACTATCCATTCCATTAAAAATTAATTAATTACATTAAGCACTGCGAATGACATAGTCAAATTAAAAATGATGGAGAAGAATAAAACCATTACTTTAAATATTTTGATTACAATATATTTTATAATTAAAATATAAAATAGGCATATATTTAGAAATATTTAAATATTTTGACAGCTTTGATTTGTCGCTTGCTGTGCTTCATGGGAGTGGGCGGAGCGAGTGATTTGTTTCACTCTGATTGGTGGAATTTCTCTACAGCATCATGGGTAATGCAGTTTTTCACCAGGAATTCCACACAATTCTTGGAAAAATACATTGAAATAATGTGAACTGATGGCTTTAACAAAAGGATATAAGGATAAGCCATCGATTAAAAGTCGATATGCCTTTAAAGGTTTGTAAGTTATCTTTAAAAGTCCATTTCCCCATGGAGAAAATTAACCGAATTTTTATTTTCAGAACCAACCGTTGCAATCTATGGAAAAGAGATAAAAACATCACCTATAAAAAAAATCTCTATCACACTGACGCAAGCATGTGTTCATATCGGTCTGAACAGACACATTAATAGCCGTTTGTTCAAATTTAAATATTCGTCGCAACAAATTCTAGCATAATTTTGGTCTGAATGGGCCTTTAATATTTTTTTGAAGGAGAAACCCGAGCCATGTCTAGAGACCAGAATATCATTTTGACTTGGGTTGGTGACAAAAACCCCAAGAAACCACATAGCAACACACTCAAAACCACTCCGCAACCAATGCTGTTAGTGTTGTGTTATCAGGCTATCGACATGCTCATTGGTTTTAGTTGTGTTTGTTACACTAACCTTTGTCAATGTCTGTTCCTTCTCTGTTTCCCAGAGTGCAATCACTGAAGTCTCGGTTGTTGATGATTAGACAGACTCCTCTGCTGTCCCCTTGCATCTCATACTGCGGGGTCTGCCATTCACAACATGCAGTGTTAGGCGCGCGAATGTGATGAACGTCAGGTCTGATTTAAGCAGGGGTGTCCAGTATAACACAATATAGTATACGCTAATATGGTTAGCTACACAGATCATGGCCAAATAGAGCAACTCTAATAAACTCTTAAAGGATTAGTTCAAGGTTCAAATGACAGTTTCATTGCAGCTACAAGGGGCTTTAAAAGGAGAGTCACGAACGCGCATCACAGAACAGAGCAAGGTGAGCATTTGTGCTTATAAAACTTAAACTTTGTTATTTATTTTTGAAATGAGCGATCGTTTCGCTTGATAAGACCCCTTATTCATCGTCTGGAGTTGTTTAAAGCCCTTTGAACAGTTTGCACTGAAACTGTCGTTTGGACCTTGAACCGTTTGGACCCCATTGAAGTCCATTATATGGAGAAATCATTCCTGGAATATTTTCATCAAAAACATTAATTTCTTTTCGACTGAAGAAAGAAAGACATGGACATCTTGGATGACATGGGGGTGAGTAAATTATCAGCAACATTTTTTTTTTAAGTGAACTACTCCTTTAAACAGATGTACTACAGAACAAGAGCATTCTCTTAAAGTATCGCGTTTCCCAGAGAAACTTTGCATTTTCTCACAAAAGTATTGTGTTCCCTCAAGAAACTTTGTGTTCTAGTGCAAAACTCTATTGCAAAATGTCTCTCTCGTTTTCAAATGCAACAGACTTGATGAATATTTTGAATAAAAAACTGTTACAAAGAAACACCTTAATGTAATAAAGATAGCCTACCAGAAATATGTTTGCATTTGGTTGATTAAAGGGATACTCCACTTTTTATAAATACGCTCATTCAACAACTCCCCCAGAGTTAAACTGTTGAGTTTTACCTTTTTTGAATCCATTCAGCCGATCTCCGGTTCTGGCGGTTCCACTTTTAGCATAGCTTAGCATACATCATTGAAGTGCACAAGACCATTAGCATTTCTCCCAAAAAAATGACCAAAGTGTTTCGATATTTTTCCTACTTAAAACTTGACTCTTCTGAAAGTTGCGATTTTCTAGGCCGATATGGCTAGGAACTATACTCTCATTCCAGCGTAATAATCAGGAAACTTGATATGACACAGCGCCTGAAAATAGTCCCTAGCTTCTAACGTGACCGGGACTAAGTTTGTGTAGTCATTACGCCTGCTGCACTCGTGGTACGGCAGTAAAGTGTCTTGATTATTACGCAAGAATGAGAGTATAGTTCCTAGTCATATCAGCCTAGAAAATCACATCTTTACATTTTCCGTCTGTCTTAGTGCACGGCGTAACTACAGAAGAGTCACGTTTTAAATAGGAAAAATATCGAAACACTTTGGTCATTTTTTTTTTTTTTTTTTTTTTTGAGAAATGCTAATGGTCTTGTCCACTTCAATGATGTATACTAAGCTATGCTAAAAGGGGTACCGCCAGAACCGGAGATCGGCTGAATGGATTCAAAAACGCTAAAATGAGCGTATTTCCAAAAAAAGCGGAGTATCCCTTTAAGCTTATCATGTCCTGAACCGAGGCCCGAGAATAAAGATCTTACCTCTGGATTTTCAGTCTGACTCTGATCTAAGACAAAGAGATAAAAAAAAAAAAAATGAGTATAAGATGAAAACAGAGATGACACATGATGTTGTATTGGGCATTTCCTACAGTACCTCCACTATTCTCAGACGCTCTCAGACTGAGTCTGTCCACCCGGTCCTCCATTGTGTCCACTGTCAAGAACGCCACACAAATATGCTTTGAGTTTGCTGCATTTATCATTTTTGTATATTTAAATTCCCATTTCTTGTCAATAATTCTTGTTAAGTTTTACATGGAGTATGTAAAGTCACTTCACCTGATGTCAGCGGCGAGGGCTGTGGGCCGGAGAGAGAAAGAGACAAAGTTCAACAGTAATAACTAGTGAGTGAAAACTATTTTAACAAGATGAAACACAAAATGAGATGCTAAGCATAATGATTTTTTTTATGTTAATGTTAATATATTTTTCAAAAGTGTCAGTACGGACCTTTATAATGTAATAAAAGATTTCTATTTCAAACGAATGCTGTTCTTTTGAACTTTCTATTCATCAAACTTCAACACTGATAATAATCATAAATGTTTCTTGAGCATCAGATCCACATATTAGAGTGATTTCTGAAGGATCATGTGACACTGAAGACTGGAGTAATGATGCTGAAAATACAGCTTTGATCACAGAGTTATTTAAGATATTTTAAATGGCATTATTGTGCAATATTACTATTTACTGTATTTCTGATCAAATAAATGCAGCCTTGGTGAGCAGAAGAGACTTCTAGCAATATATATATATATATATATATATATATATATATATTAGGGCTGTGCAAAAGTGAATTGCGATTAATCGCATCCAAAATAAAAGTCTGTGTTTACATAGTATATTTGTGTGTGCTGTATATAATTATTTCGTATATATAAATACACACACATGCATGTATATGTTTAAGAAAATGTGTTATTCCTATATAAAATATTTATATTTGTATAATATAGATTATGTATTTATATATATATATATACAGAATTTAAGCGCAAATAATTCTTAAATATATACATGCATGCATAGGTATTTATATATACAAAATAATTATATACAGCACACACAAATATATTATGTAAAACAGACTTTTATTTTGGATGCGATTAATCGCAATTAACTTTTGCACAGCCCTAATATATATATGAAGAGTTCAGATGCAAAAGCCTCTAAATGCCATTTGAAATGTTCTTCTTTAATGATGATTTTTATCAAACTTGTATATTTAAGTTCAGTGATTTCACTTAAATAACAATTAATAGGTAATTATCATTGCCATTTAAGTGAAATCACTGAACTTAAATATACATGCTTGATAAAAATCATCATTAAAGAAGAAAATTTCAAATGGCATTTAGAGGCTTTTGCATCTGAACTCTTCATATATATCTTACCAACCCCAAACTTTTGAGTTGAAGTGAATAAGTCACTAGTCAGTGAAATGAAAATCTAAAACTATTCCCCTTCTTATAATCTTATATATGCATACAAACATGGAAATAATAAACATTTTTTATAATTTAATTTTTTTTATAAACATAAAAAATATTCCCCTCTTACATTCCACAGAAAAAAAGGGTGACGTAAGGAGTACTATATGAACATGAATGCAAATGAAGTTATACCGGAGCTGGTGTGTACGACACGGAGGAATTAATCCCGGTCTCTTGAGCAATAAGCATTCCACCAGCTGCAATAAGACAGAAAACAACGCAGTTATTCTAATTCTATAGAATGCAACCATCATAATTATATGAGTCACATTTTAGAACATGCATAACATCAATCAACACATTTTGTAGCAAAAACTCCCAGATCTCCTCGCAGTCTTGATTTACAGTAGTTTAACTTATTTTACATATAAGAGAGGCAAATTAATAAATCATAGATATCTATTTCACACATCACATCATTAAATAATAAATAATAAAACAGTCGCACTCACAACTCTCTGCTTTGTATTGAATAATTCTTTTTTCTAAACCGGGATGAATTTTGGCTATAATATCCTGCAGAACGTCCAAATTATCTTCACCCAAAAGGTCTTCCTTCTCCATCTCCAAAAACAACTGCAGCAGCGTCTAAAACACACGCAGAGATGTGCCGTCAGACTAAAACACACGTGTTTAAAGAAGGTTTAGTCAAACACCACATGCTGAAATGTGCCGGACTGATGTGGTGATGGCGTCTCTCACCACTTCCTTCTCCAGTTTTTTGCGCGGCAGTGTTTTGATGAGGAGGAATTTAATGTTTTTCAGGTCCTGATCACAGATGGACTCCGACACCTCGTACAACAACTGTCTGAAATGCAGAGAAATAAACACTGTTTATTATTTCAAAGATATTTTTTAACATAACTCTAATTCTGTTCGGCTGAAAAAAGAAAGTCACATCTAGGATGGCTTGCGGGTGAATAAATCATGGGATAATTTTCATTTTTGGGTGAACTATCCCATTATATAATACCAGTGCCTTTTGGATAGTAGATATTTGCATGGTCAACATGCCTGAATGTGAGACACCCTTTCAACAAACACGTCTCTATAGAGTGCCGAAGTTATCACGTCACTTTGTAGGCCAAAACGCGCAAGCGAGTTAGCATTTTAGCACTCCCGGTTCCCTCGCCACGAATGGGTTTTTGCTAAATCGCCTGAAATAAGGTCTGTGGTGAACAAAGGGTCTAAATATTTTCACGGTTTGATCTACGACATAAAACACACAGTTATGACCTGCTTGTGTGTGTTTTTTTTTACTTTATTGTGTCTGCTTGTGGTTTTTTAACTTTATATAGGCATCAAAATGTACAAATTTTGGACTTACTTGTAAAGATTATGTTGATAGACAAAATGTGTAAGAGTCAAAACTCTTTGTTAAACACAGATCTTATTTTTTGCGATTTAGGGAATCCATGACTTCCGAGTTGTACTACAAAATGATGTCATCACTTCGGCACTCTATAGAGAGCCTAAGTCCCTCCCCTTCCGGTCGACCACCATGGGACCTTATTTCGGAAAAATATTGTATGGTAGTCAATTTAAAATATACATTTTAAAGTAAAGAAAGTCGCAGTTTGATGTAAAACCGTTGAGGTATAAGACTGTGAATATACGTAATTACAAAGACTACAAACCCCAAAGGCGCACATTTTCTCTCAATGACTGAAGCTAACTTTACTGAGGCTAACGTCTGTCATTGTTTCTATAGTCTTACGTTATAATCGTAACGTTACGCCGTCATACCTGAGTGTTTTGTACCAAACTGCACACACACGAGCAGCGGATCTCACTCGTTGTTTCGCGTCCCGGGAGATGTAGTTCATAGAGCGATTTTCACATAAAACTAAATGTTACTCTTCTGTTTTATTACAAACTGCAACGTTTTTGACTTTCAGAATTATCTTTTAAATTGACAAACATCATATGTGTAATTGAGGGCACAGTTCAGACGGAATAAAAAGATAAGTTATCTCTCGCCATTGACTACCATACATACTTTTTCCGAAATAAGGTCCCATGAGCCGGAAGCGAAGGGGCGGGACTTAGGCTCTCTATAGACCTTATTGACAGCAGCGCCATCTTTGATTTTTAATGTGAATGAAAGCGAGACTGCGAGGGACAGACATACTCTTCTAGGATGTACTTTTATTCGTAGAAACGATCTTTCAAAGAAATTTCAGTAGACAAAAAAACTCCAGACAACATGAGCGGTGAAAAAGTCATCTAGGAGATTTTGAAAACACGGTAAGTCTATAATCCCTCACAGCCTCGCTTACTGTATACCTGTCATGGCGCTGCTCTGAATCAGGTCTATTACAAACAGAAGATAGAATAAAGTCTGTCCTCACCTGTACCGGGAGACACGCTGAGGTAATGTTGAGAAGTCAGTTTGCGTGAAAGCATCAAAGTGCAGATTGCGGATCAGGCTGTTGCGTTTCATGATCCTGAGCAGCTCCAGAAGCAGCCATGGGTCCTCCGACGACAGCAGGTCCTGGTTCTCCAGAAGAACGAAGAGTTGTGTGCCTGCGCTCACAGTGCTGAGGTCTTTAGCAGCGATGAGATCTGAGCACAGGAACACCAGGTCCTGCACTTCATCGGCCGTGAGAGACTCCTGTACTCGTAACAGCACCTGCTGAAACTCCAGCTCCTGCTCAGAGAAACAAGCTCTGCTGTGGGACACAGTGCTGATGCTGCATGATGGCTCAACGTTTCATTTAAAGAGATGGTTTGCAGTAATTTCAACATAGGCTCCTTTGCACCATGACCACGAGCCAAACACCCCTCTGGAAGCCTTTTTTCCGTTGGTCGAACATTATTGGAGGACCCACGGGGTCAAATTTGACCGCTGTTAATTGCTGCTCCCCCAAAATTAACAAACAAACAAAAAAATAGTCAAATTTAACTTCCAAAAGTCCAGAGTGCCACTTCTGGTCCCTGCATAGAGACACCTAGTGCATGAATGTTGAACTCACAAGTGCCGGTGGTGGAAACAAGATGGCTGACCACATGCTGTTTTGTAGAGCTGGAAACCTATCCAAGCAAAATCGTCTTCTCAGCAAACCAGTGGTTGGTATTATTTTATTTAGTATTAGATTGCGGAATGTCTAGAAGTGCGTTTTTATATTCTTTTTGGATAAATTAGCAACTCTGTGCTAGTTTGAAAAAAATGACCCTCTGGGTGTATGGGTTAAACAAATGTCAGGTCAAAAATGACCCTCGGGTGTATGGGTTAAACAAATGTCAGGTCAAAAATGACCCTCGGATGTATGGGTTAAACAAATGTCGGGTCAAAAATTACCCTCGGGTGTATGGGTTAAACAAATGTCGGGTCAAAAATTACCCTCGGTGTATGGGTTAAACAAACGTCGGGTCAAAAATGACCCTCGGTGTATGGGTTAAACAAACGTCGGGTCAAAAATGACCCTCTGGTGTATGGGTTAAACAAACGTCGGGTCAAAAATGACCCTCGGGTGTATGGGTTAAACAAATGTCGGGTCAAAAATGACCCTCGGTGTATGGGTTAAAAAAACGTCGGGTCAAAAATGACCCTCGGGTGTATGGGTTAAACAAACGTCGGGTCAAAAATTACCCTCGGTGTATGGGTTAAAAAAATGTCGGGTCAAAAATGACCCTCGGGTGTATGGGTTAAACAAATGTTGGGTCAAAAATGACCCTCGGTGTATGGGTTAAACAGATGTCGGGTCAAAAATGACCCTCGGGTGTCTGGGATAAACAGATGTCGGGTCAAAAATGACCCTCGGGTGTATGGGTTAAACAAACGTCGGGTCAAAAATTACCCTCGGTGTATGGGTTAAAAAAATGTCGGGTCAAAAATGACCCTCGGGTGTATGGGTTAAACAAATGTCGGGTCAAAAATGACCCTCGGGTGTATGGGTTAAACAGATGTCGGGTCAAAAATGACCCTCGGGTGTCTGGGATAAACAGATGTCGGGTCAAAAATGACCCTCGGGTGTATGGGTTAAATAGATGTCGGGTCAAAAATGACCCTCGGGTGTATGGGTTAAACAGATGTCGGGTCAAAAATGACCCTCGGGTGTATGGGTTAAACAGATGTCGGGTCAAAAATGACCCTCGGGTGTATGGGTTAAACAGATGTCGGGTCAAAAATGACCCTCGGGTGTATGGGTTAAACAAATGCCGGGTCAAAAATGACCCTCGGGTGTCTGGGATAAACAAATGTTGGGTCAAAAATGACCCTCGGGTGTATGGGTTAAACAAATGTCGGGTCAAAAATGACCCTCGGGTGTATGGGTTAAACAAATGTCGGGTCAAAAATGACCCTCGGGTGTATGGGTTAAACAAACGTCGGGTCAAAATTGACCCTCTGGTGTATGGGTTAAACAAATGTCAGGTCAAAAATGACCCTCGGGTGTATGGGTTAAACAGATGTCGGGTCAAAAATGACCCTCTGGTGTATGGGTTAAACAAATGTCGCGTCAAAAATGACCCTCGGTGTATGGGTTAAACAAATGTCGGGTCAAAAATGACCCTCGGTGTATGGGTTAAACAAATGTTGGGTCAAAAATGACCCTCGGGTGTATGGGTTAAACAAATGTCGGGTCAAAAATGACCCTCGGGTGTATGGGTTAAACAAATGTCGGGTCAAAATTGACCCTCGGGTGTATGGGTTAAACAAATGTCGGGTCAAAAATTACCCTCTGGGTGTATGGGGGTCAAAAATGACCATCTGGGTGTATGGGTTAAACAAATGTCGGGTCAAAAATGACCTTCGGGTGTATGGGTTAAACAAATGTCAGGTCAAAAATGACCCTCGGGTGTCTGGGTTAAACAAATGTCGGGTCAAAAATGACCCTCGGGTGTATGGGTTAAACAAATGTCGGGTCAAAAATGACTCTCTGGGTGTATGGGTTAAACAAATGTCGGGTCAAAAATGACCCTCTGGGTGTATGGGGGTCAAAAATGACCCTCTGGGTGTATGGGTTAAACAAATGTCGGGTCAAAAATGACCTTCGGGTGTATGGGTTAAACAAATGTCAGGTCAAAAATGACCCTCGGGTGTCTGGGTTAAACAAATGTCGGGTCAAAATTGACCCTCGGGTGTATGGGTTAAACAAATGTCGGGTCAAAAATGACCCTCTGGGTGTATGGGGGTCAAAAATGACCCTCTGGGTGTATGGGTTAAACAAATGTCGGGTCAAAAATGACCTTCGGGTGTTTGGGTTAAACAAATGTCAGGTCAAAAATGACCCTCGGGTGTCTGGGTTAAACAAATGTCGGGTCAAAAATGACCCTCGGGTGTATGGGTTAAACAAATGTTGGGTCAAAAATTACCCTCGGTGTATGGGTTAAACAAATGTCGGGTCAAAAATGACCCTCTGGTGTATGGGTTAAACAAACGTCGGGTCAAAATTGACCCTCTGGTGTATGGGTTAAACAAATGTCGGGTCAAAAATTACCCTCGGGTGTATGGGTTAAACAAATGTCGGGTCAAAAATGACCCTCGGGTGTATGGGTTAAACAAATGTCGGGTCAAAAATGACCCTCGGGTGTATGGGTTAAACAAACGTCGGGTCAAAATTGACCCTCTGGTGTATGGGTTAAACAAATGTCAGGTCAAAAATGACCCTCGGGTGTATGGGTTAAACAGATGTCGGGTCAAAAATGACCCTCTGGTGTATGGGTTAAACAAATGTCGCGTCAAAAATGACCCTCGGTGTATGGGTTAAACAAATGTCGGGTCAAAAATGACCCTCTGGGTGTATGGGTTAAACAAATGTCGGGTCAAAAATGACCTTCGGGTGTATGGGTTAAACAAATGTCAGGTCAAAAATGACCCTCGGGTGTCTGGGTTAAACAAATGTCGGGTCAAAAATGACCCTCGGGTGTATGGGTTAAACAAATGTCGGGTCAAAAATGACCCTCTGGGTGTATGGGTTAAACAAATGTCGGGTCAAAAATGACCCTCTGGGTGTATGGGGGCCAAAATGACCCTCTGGGTGTATGGGTTAAACAAATGTCGGGTCAAAAATGACCTTCGGGTGTATGGGTTAAACAAATGTCAGGTCAAAAATGACCCTCGGGTGTCTGGGTTAAACAAATGTCGGGTCAAAATTGACCCTCGGGTGTATGGGTTAAACAAATGTCGGGTCAAAAATGACCCTCTGGGTGTATGGGGGTCAAAAATGACCCTCTGGGTGTATGGGTTAAACAAATGTCGGGTCAAAAATGACCTTCGGGTGTATGGGTTAAACAAATGTCAGGTCAAAAATGACCCTCGGGTGTCTGGGTTAAACAAATGTCGGGTCAAAAATGACCCTCGGGTGTATGGGTTAAACAAATGTTGGGTCAAAAATTACCCTCGGTGTATGGGTTAAACAAATGTCGGGTCAAAAATGACCCTCTGGTGTATGGGTTAAACAAACGTCGGGTCAAAATTGACCCTCTGGTGTATGGGTTAAACAAATGTCGGGTCAAAAATTACCCTCGGGTGTATGGGTTAAACAAATGTCGGGTCAAAAATGACCCTCGGGTGTATGGGTTAAACAAATGTCGGGTCAAAAATGACCCTCGGGTGTATGGGTTAAACAAACGTCGGGTCAAAATTGACCCTCTGGTGTATGGGTTAAACAAATGTCAGGTCAAAAATGACCCTCTGGTGTATGGGTTAAACAGATGTCGGGTCAAAAATGACCCTCTGGTGTATGGGTTAAACAAATGTCGGGTCAAAAATGACCCTCGGTGTATGGGTTAAACAAATGTCGGGTCAAAAATGACCCTCGGGTGTATGGGTTAAACAAATGTCGGGTCAAAAATGACCCTCGGGTGTATGGGTTAAACAAATGTCGGGTCAAAAATGACCCTCGGGTGTATGGGTTAAACAAATGTCGGGTCAAAAATGACCCTCTGGGTGTATGGGGGTCAAAAATGACCCTCTGGGTGTATGGGTTAAACAAATGTCGGGTCAAAAATGACCTTCGGGTGTATGGGTTAAACAAATGTCAGGTCAAAAATGACCCTCGGGTGTCTGGGTTAAACAAATGTCGGGTCAAAAATGACCCTCGGGTGTATGGGTTAAACAAATGTCGGGTCAAAAATGACTCTCTGGGTGTATGGGTTAAACAAATGTCGGGTCAAAAATGACCCTCTGGGTGTATGGGGGTCAAAAATGACCCTCTGGGTGTATGGGTTAAACAAATGTCGGGTCAAAAATGACCTTCGGGTGTATGGGTTAAACAAATGTCGGGTCAAAAATGACCCTCGGGTGTATGGGTTAAACAAATGTCGGGTCAAAAATGACCCTCTGGGTGTATGGGGGTCAAAAATGACCCTCTGGGTGTATGGGTTAAACAAATGTCGGGTCAAAAATGACCCTCGGGTGTATGGGTTAAACAAATGTCGGGTCAAAAATGACCCTCGGGTGTATGGGTTAAACAAATAGCGGGTCAAAAATGACCCTCTGGTGTATGGGTTAAACAAATGTCGGGTCAAAAATTACCCTCGGGTGTATGGGGTAAACAAATGTCGGGTCAAAATGACCCTCGGGTGTATGGGTTAAACAAATGTCGGGTCAAAAATGACCCTCTGGTGTATGGGTTAAACAAATGTCGGGTCAAAAATTACCCTCGGGTGTATGGGGTAAACAAATGTCGGGTCAAAATGACCCTCGGGTGTATGGGTTAAACAAATGTCGGGTCAAAAATGACCCTCTGGTGTCTGGGTTAAACAAATGTCGGGTCAAAAATGACCTTCGGGTGTATGGGTTAAACAGATGTCGGGTCAAAAATGACCCTCTGGTGTATGGGTTAAACAAATGTCGGGTCAAAAATGACCCTTTGGTTCTTTGAGTGACTTTGATGGGGAATGGTGACAGTCCTGTATTTGGCTAAAGCCTTGAAATAATTTCATATATGTTTCTAAGTTACCTCAGTACTTTTCAGGGAGTATGGCCACTCCCTTTTCAGGACAGGGAAAGCAACACAGAAAGATCACTGTAAGACAAGTATTGAAGCAACTTGAAGCTGATGATAGTGACCCTGGCCAGGGAACAGTGATAGCGATTCTAATGAATTGTTTCAACCGAATGAAAGTGATGTAGATGAATCTTGTGCCCAAGACAAGGCACATCAGGCAAGCCACAAAGGTTGTGATCTTGGTTGTGGAAGATCACAGGTTGTGAAAAACAAACTTGCCGGGACTGTAATACTTGTAAAAATCAAATACAGCATTGTCTGACCACTAATAAGACTACACAGTTCACTATTGCAGACTACACAGTGACAGATAAAAAAATTAACCTAAAACAAAATACAGACTCAGCTCAAACACACACACACAACCATGCCATAGAAACTCGCACAGGAAAATGTGGCCGTCACAGGAAGACAGATCTACTGCAATCACGACAAACCTGTGTTGTAGCAGCACCACCACATACACACAAATAATACAAGAAAACACACACACACACACACAATAACTGCTCTTCTTATTAGGAGAATGCATTTTTTAAAATTTGCAGTATTTCCATTTTTCTTAAAGTGAAACTTCCTTTTTCATACTGTATTCTTTCTATTCTATATATGCAAGTCAGCTGTAAATGCTGTGAGGAAATATAAATGTATATGAGTATTTGTCATGCTAATACTGTAAAGTACAAATCTTAATCAATCGAGGTGAGAGTTTGATTATTCCCTCAGCTTTTCCTGATGGTTTGGTCACGTTCAGGTTAGATAAGGTTAAGCAGACACGGGAAGATTCCCCCTGAAGAACAGTGTGCATTTACTTTTAAATTGTAACATATTTAGATATAAGTTTAGCATGTGCAGGATGATGATGCATCTGCCAATGTGTTATTATAGGAAATAAATAGAATGTTTGTTAATTTAGTTGTTCTACAAGAAGACATAAAATTATTAAAAGAGGCCATCTTTATAGAACGTAAAAATGATTGGCTATAATTGTTATCTATCTCTCTATCTCTCTCTCTCTCTCTCTCTCTCATTAATGTAAAATATTAAATCAAATATTAAAATTGAATTTTGACAATTTAGTTGATAACAACTGAATAACAGATGACAGGCAAAGAAGAATTCCAGTAGAAGAGATTCATCTGAAAGGTCAAATTATTCCGTAGCTTATATATGCAAATATTTAATTGCCCATGATTTAACTGAAGATATGTCATAATAGCAACACTATGAATGCAAATGTAATGATTTCACTTAACCTATAGGCCTAAGTTTTCGTGCAAACAAAGTGAATCTAATGAAATCTAATTCATGGAAATACTGAATAATAACCGTATAAATTTGCCTTTACTGAACCAGTTAGTTTAGAGAATCACTCATAATCGTTCGTAACTTGGATGGGGAATGAAAGCGAAAGTTGTTCGTTAATAAGAAATTAGTTAGAAAACTGAATTGTCATTGTGATGTTTGACGAAGTGAAACGGCTTATCAGATGAGAAAAAAATTGTGGGGCAGGACTTGATTTTGTTGAGTTTAGGTGTGGTCGGGGAGGTGAAACATGTTTCAGAGACATTTTCATTCAATACTTGTCTTTATGATCAATACAACGTATTTGTTGGCATACAAGAATAACATAAGCCTACTACGGTATTTAAATATTACTGTAGGGGCCGTTTCAACCAGTTTTATTTTAATAAACATGACACAATATAACATTGTTATTCGTGACTACATGATTCAGAATAACTAATAAAACACACATATGCTGCGTTGATCGTGTCAGGGCCTAGCCGCCTGTTCACATCGCGTCTTTTGCAAAGCGCGCTCTTTTTTTCCAAGCGCGTCCTCGCGTCATCTCAACCTGACGATCTCAACTTTTCAGAATGCCGAAGTGCGCTGTAGTGTAAGTCACATGGCAAGAACCAACCCCAACCTACGCACCAGAGAAACGTGGGCGCCGTCATCTTTAGAATATTGTCTTTGAACTTCCGTTTTTGTGGTTGCTCTTTATATTTCTATGGCATCGCTGTCGAGGAGTAATTAGCGGGTGAAGTGGATACTAATTGTAGAGTTAACAAAGGTTATCATGAGCATTGTAATGTTTATCATAAGCATTGTAAAGCAGATGTCTTAACAAATACGAGCACTTCATTCATTCCTATGCAAGATCGCTTTGAAAATACAGACCGGAAGTCAAAAGCGCAGAGCTAAAAAGGGGCGGGGCTACATAAGGTCTATAGTATCCAGCTGCAGAGCCGCAGCACACCAGTTTCAAAGCCAGAACCCCAGCGCCAGAACCGGAAGTAAGGGTTACGTTCTAACCAACACCAGCGCCAGGGCCATAAGTGAGGGGCGGAGCTTAGGTTCGAAACCTATAACGCCACCTAACGTAATTTGGAGGGTATTTTACAGATGAAACAGCCTACTCTCTACATGTGTGTTATAATGCTACATTACAGTACAATAAGCATTTTAAAACATTGATTTTGTTTAATATAATTGTATAGTTTCAGTTATCCGTTTCATTGTATTATGAATTACTTCCTGATCATGATGGTGAAAAAATAATACTTGAAACTTATGGGCATTTTAATGTATAACATTTTAATTTTAGCTAAGCAGTTTACACATATAGGCCGGCCTACGTGAAGATTTATGAAGGTAAGACTTTTGTTTTTGGTTTTTATGAAGGAGTTAACTTTGTATAATAAAGCTTTGAAAGATATAAAACAAGACAAGCATTGGAGGTTTTCAAAATTATACACAATTCGGTATGATTAGACCTCTGTGATATATGTTCTATTTGTTTATTTGTGTTTACAAAAATCTTAAATTGTTTTGATATTGAATTTATGTATTTGTGAGATAATTTTGATTAAGATGATTAAAAAAATAGAATAAAAAACGCATGGGTATTTTTTTTATAAAATATACTTTATTTCACAAGAACATGTGCAGCATGCATTTTTTCGTGTAAAATAATAATTTCAAAATCTAAAAAAGAGAGAGAAAATTTGGCATTGTTTTAAACGAAACAATAAAAATGTAGGCTATGCAAAATGACCAATTCAACCCTAGGCCTGTTTTATCACAACAATCTTGTATAAATTTAACTTACAACCCAGATAGCAAACTGACATTGAATCAACGTGGAAACGACGTCTCTCATGACATTGAAACAACGTTGATTTTGCTCATCGAATTAACGTTGAACCAACGTCAGACGCGGCATTTTTCAAAGCTAATTTAAATGAAAATCGAAAATTGGTTTGCTTTCATAACGTTGAAACAACGCATTGATTTCAAGTTGATTTTCCGTTAGTTTTGAAAGAATGACGCGTCTGACGTTGGTTCAACGTTAATTCGATGAGCAAAACAATGTCAGATCAACGTTTCGATGTCATATTTCCACGTTGATTCAATGTCAGTTTGCTATCTGGGAATGTATCAAATGAGGAACTCACTCTCAGGCCCATTTTTTCCTTACATTCTTGCTAAAATAACTATAATGCAATAATAATAATAATTCCGCCCCTCTCTCACTTCCGGTTCTGGCGCTGGGGTTCTGAAACTGGTGGTGCTGCGGGTCTGCTAGCAACGACAGGCGCCCCCTGAGCGCAACCGCCACCGGGCTTTGGGAAAAGGAGAACGCGGCTTGCCTAGTAGCGTTTTCTAAAAGCCGGTGTTTTTCGGCGCTATGTGTGAATGGCGCCTTAAGTGAGTAAAACTCATCTCGTGACTGCGAGTCTTCATTATGTCAGAAAAGTGATCAGTAAGTTATGGTCCAGTCTTGTTCTTACCTTCTGTGAAGTCGTCATAGTGTTCACGGTGAAGATATCAAGGCTTTGTCACGAATAGCCTATTTATCAGTCTAACATTCATTTCTACAGTAGAGATCGAAAGTAGTCAGTGTGTGGACACGCCTCTGATCTCTCCCGAACTTCCTTCCTTTTTATAAGACAGCCCAGAATGCTAGTTTCGTTAGTTTTGTTTCCGATATTTCTCCTCACACATGTAGAGACAAACGGTGAAGGATCATCTCTCCAAAATATAGTATCGCTGGAAAACGCGAAAGGCTGATAATAATATTCAACAGGTTTTTTTCTCCCTCATTTATATCATAGGCCTACACTCCAGGTGAGATATTTATAGGCTCTATATTCCTAATCTATCTATCTATCTATCTATCTATCTATCTATCTATCTATCTATCTATCTATCTATCTATCTATCTATCTATCTATCTATCTATCTATCTATCTATCTATCTATCTATCTATCTGACTATCTATCTATCTATCTATCTGTCTGTCTATCTATCTATCTATCTATCTATCTATCTATCTATCTATCTATCTATCTATCTATCTGACTATCTATCTATCTATCTGTCTGTCTATGCCTATCTATCTATCTATCTATCTATCTATCTATCTATCTATCTATCTATCTATCTATCTATCTATCTATCTATCGATCTAATCTTTACTTCTTTTATTCTATCTACTATTTCTTTTGATTCTATCTAATATTTCTTTAATTCTATCTTTCTATCAATATATATAAATGTGAGAGACAAAATAAGATGCCATGTTTCGAGAGTTTTTTAACACTACTCTGTTATCCTTCCTTATAATATGCTAGCTGTCTTTACAAGTTGTGTATAGCCTATGTTTTATTTATTTTTTCTTTATGTTACATCTCAAGAATTTTTATGTAGAGGTTTACAGTATAATTATTTCCAAAAAGCATAAAGTAGCCTATCTCTTTCTAAATACCTCTTGTTTTTTTTCATATATTTTTTTTACAATAATAAAAGTTTCTGTAATTCAATGTCCCACACAGTATACACACCTCATATCAAACCATTTTTACTGCAGCTTTTAGGAGATACATCACTCTAGCTGACTTCAGAGGCCTTATAGAAATAACAAATGGCCAGTTCTTAGGGTATAATCAACTCATATATAAGTATAATTATATCAGTATAATCAACTCATCAAAACATGGAGATGAGTCACATTATTCCTATTTGTACACCTATACAGACCTCTTTTCTAATAAGTGGGAAAAACTAAGTCAGTTTCAATACGGGATGTCCCATACAGTAGCAGAACTCATATCAAACCATTTTATGGTACATCCCCTATAAAAACTGACCACTGTTTTTTTCTAGAATTGTATCTGTTCACATTTGAAAGTATAATCAGAATTAATGTTTCCTTTTCTTTTCTTTTCTTTTCTTTTCTTTTCTTTGTTTTTTTTTTCTCTTTAAGGTTATCAACCTTAATGAATCCCTTTGAGGCAAACTGTCTCAAATACTGTCTATAACCTGCGAGAATTTACAAATACAAGAGCTGGAAGTGATTTGAGTCGTTCCCCGTGTCCTCTGTGGTTTGCTGATGCTCTTTTCCAGTTAGAAGCAGAAACTGATGCACAAACTTCCCAGATAACTCGACTCTTAGTGCAGCGGACGGACGGGAGAACGACGCTCCGGCTGATGTGGGATGCTTTACCTCACTGCATCCGGCAGTAATTTCTTTAGCGTTTGATCAAACATGAGTGTTGTGTTTGTAGTGTAACAGGTTTTTATTTAATCCTCGTTGATTTTCTGTTTTTTATCTGTGACTGTGTTGTAATTGTGTTTGTATTCATATGTGCTTCATAAATAAACTGAACATTGAACATTGAACAAAAGTTTCTTTTACTTTGTTCCCAGCATTTCAGCCAAGCAAAAGGTTCAAGATAACATTCAGTCTTGGTCAAAGCACTGCGTCTTCACGCCTTTCCCGGATCCTGCCGCTGTTGCTTAGTTCTGATCATCTCCACTCAATGATCCGCACGGAGCCGGTGTGCTTCGCCCAACAGGACCAGATTAGGCTGGACACTACAAGGGTTAGCTAATGTCCCCCAGCAAATCCCACAGCAACAATGCTTTCCACATCTGTGACCTCCACTTCGTGTTGCGGTCTCTCTCTTTTGTGAAATCACTTCCCTGAGATCTTTTTTTATTTTACACCTCCTGCAGCTCACACACATATATACCATAAATCCTTTCCCAAAGATGGTAACACACCCTATAGATATTTTTGGGTTATGGTTTTGTACCATGTGACACTAGAATATAACTCTCTGCTGCAAGCAACATTTCAGGCCTTTCTTCAGGCTTCAGAAAGTCAAACCAAAGTCAGAGGAAATAATAGTGTACAAATAGCTAAATTACTTATTTTCTAAATAATAAAATCTTCTACATTCCTCATTTAAGCCCCACTTTCACTTTCCTTACCCAGAGCAAAATCCATCCGCTCAGTTCTGCTGCCAGTGACTAAACTGAGTCGCCCGTTCACCTTTCCAATGACTGGATATCCCACACACTCCAACATCTCTCCATACATCTGTCTTTCTTTCAGTTGTTTTTTTCCTTTTCTTTCAATAGACAGAGTAAAAGATTCTTCACTCCCAAATCAAAAATTAAACTGTTATAAGTGTGTGTGGTTCATGATAGCCTGTTGTTGTACACAGTTCTGTACAAACATACAAATCCATTATATTATTAAAAAAAGTTGTTCTTGTACACACACACACTTCTTTATTCGCTCCTTGTTTTTATGAAGGAATATCAATTATTAAATTTGAAGAATCAAACTTTTAGTCAGTCGTTTTTAGTTGATGAACGAACAGAACATAGTGCAGCTTCAATAAATCGCAATTTGTTTTTGTGCTTTGTTATAAAGTTTCAGATATCAAATGATGTCAATATTATTATCAAATTTAAACAATAAATACCATTTTGACATTTTTAATGTCGTGTGTTGTAGCTCCTCAGTTCAAGCAGTTCTTCACAGAATACCATTTTTAGTCATTTCTGAATAAACAAATCATGTCTCGTCACTCTCGTGTAATCCCTCAAACTAAGAAATCCTGAGAGCAATGTTACATTTACCTCATAAAAGTCATTCAATAGAAAATAGCTTTTTGTATATTATATATTCATTATATGTAGCCTACATTTCTTTTTTCTGTAAATCTTTAAAATCTGTAAAAAGTTTTTATATCAACCATTTAAAACAAAGTTAATAATAACTTAAATATTAATAACTGTGATCTTAAAGGGTAACTAAACCCTTAACCAACTTTTTTTTAGTTAATGGTCTGTAAGAATGGGGCTTTTTTAATGCTGATCATTGATTCGAGTAACTTTTTTGACATTTGGGTATAAAATGTTTTATTTCTACAATATATGGTGTAAAAACGTCTGAGTGCTGCCCTCTTCAGGTTGAACGGTGGCTACTGCAGTTGAATTTTCCTATTGGATGTTTGCGGTTGTTCGGAGTAATCTGCGTGCGTGTGCGCGAGTGAGTGAGTGAGTGAGTGAGTAAATGAGTGTGTGTGTAGTGTGTCTGAGAGAATTGTCAGATCAACGTTGTTTCGATGTCATGTTTCCACGTTGATTCAACGTCAGTTTGCTATCATGTGTCTGGCTACAAATTAAAAATTGTTTTTTTGTTTTTTTGTGTGAAATGTGGTAAAAGGGGCTGATTTTTTTAAATGAAGGTTTATGTTCAACTGCACAAAATAACCCTGGAATTGATATTGCACTATGTTAAACTTTTGGTCTCTTGCCTGAGTTTTTTCATGGCACGTAACAAGACAAGAGAAATAGTGTTGACATTTGAGGGGAGTGTTAACTTATTCATTGTGTCCCCTAGGACGGTCACTGTGGTCTGAGATGCCGTACAGTGAAAAATATTTTTTGAATTTATTTCCTCAGCATATTATTACTATTATTAGGTCATATTGTTGAGTGCTATGGACATTATTTGAACAGTGAAAATAGTAATAAAAGAGTTGATGATGTGAAATGTCACTAATGCTGATTATTTAGCCTATTAGATTCGACATAGGCTATTTAAAATACTTTGATGAAAAAATGATGTATGCGATTAATTTAGATTAATTAATCACAGAGTATGTTAGATTAAAAATTTTAATCGATTGACAGCCCTAATAGCTGTCAATCGGACAGCCACTAAAAGTCCAACATCATCCGCAAAGAGCAGAGACGAAATCACGTGGTCCCCAAACCTGACACCCTCCGGCCCCTGGCTGCGCCTAGAAATTCTGTCCATAAAAATTTTGAACAGAACCGGATCCGAGGCCATGGTCCTCAGTCGAAAAAGGGTCGCTTGCTCACTTCAGGTCGGTGGAGAGCTGTTAAAATGTTTTTTACAATTCAAAAAATAGTTTGTTTTACTTAAATTAATACATATTGCAGACCAGTTTTGAATTGAAATGAAATTTGATACTCAAACATATGTTCATATGGTTCATACAATATTTAAAAAAAAATTGTTTTATTGTTAAATATCAAATAAATCAATAAAATTTGATTATTACCTTCCAGCATTTAAGAGTGGTTAAATATTTCCTGCCATATGAGTGATCATCAGTAAGTAATACATGGTTTGCATTGACACATGCGACATTATCATGGTGACGTTCCAAATTGTGAAAATAACACCTTTATTAATAATAAAACCTGAAAATATTCATGGAATACATAGAAAATAGTAGCAGCTAGAGTCACAAATATTTTTATAATTTTCTAGCAAGGTTTGTCACAATAAATAGAAAATATGTTGAAAGACCGACCGCAGGTCTCACGTTGAGCAATGTTTTAGAAAATAATACACAAATTTAATTCATTTTCACAAAACTATAATGGATCACAGTTTAGTTATGATAAATGACTTTGATAAAGTAACTTAAGAAAGGTATAATCCATTTTCAGTTTATATACAATTATTTTCATGTCACACCATATGACGATTGTACGCACTAATATAACAAATTGTCACATAAATTCTGATTCCAATTGGAAATTTTGAAACAACATGTTTCTATAAAGATGAGAGTTAGTAGAACAAGTCAACCATTTTTATGGCTATTTGAATTTTTTGAAAAAACACTTTTTTATGATATGTCAAAAATTCTTCAATTTGTTCTTTTTAATTTATATTATATTAGTCCTATATTTTATTATAATATCAGCATAAATAAAGAATCTCACAAAGGTATTGTTTAGGGCTCATCGCCATTAAAATGTTTGAAACCCCCTGCTAAAGAAAATATTGGAAATTCATAAGCAATAAACAATCATTTAACTTTGATGGTTTAATGCTTCCTGTACACAATTCATTGATTTTAATAATTTTTTTTCATAGTATTTCTTGTCATATCCAAGTTAAAAGTTACAACTGAATGTTGAAACCATTGTGTTCATGCTGTACAGGTATAGGTACAGGTCAGGTATAAAGAATATTTTTGCTCAGGTGGTAAAAATGTCCACCCAATAGAAAAAAGTTTTTCTCAGCAAAAAAAAAACAATTAGAGGGAACATTGCACTAAAATGTTATAAATTTTACAAAACTTTACAAATTTATAATCACAGCATTTATAAAGCACAAGCTCAACAAATATATACAATTTAATTTTATACAATCAGTGTCACATGATCAATATGAAGCACACTCAAATGCAAATAAACCATGCACTCTAAAAAATCATTCTGCCCTAAAGTATTACATTTGGACAAAACATCAACACCGTAAAACTCTGTAAAGCTGCTGGAAAAACATGATAGAAACAAATCGACACACTGTATACAAATTGAAACTATTATGATTACAATGCATGTAAATGAGTTTAGAGTTGTTTGGTGTCTTTATTTCCATCCACAGCTCCAGGTAAAAATGCTGATTTTGCAGTTTTCTCCTACATGTGCTGTAAAGCTGTACCTTTAGTCCCAAAAAAGGGCCTTAGAAATGGAGAGACAAGAGATAAATCATGAAATATGAACAAGCTGACCTGTAGGATAGGATCAACATTTAGTATTCAATGTTCAAGTGAATTTGTATAAATCATAAGAACACTTTTGTTTTACTGACTCGTGTCATATCTCGTTCTCATCACATTTTTTTATTGGTTCATTCTTAGTGTTAATCTCAGTCTTAACTTACGTTTGCGTCATGGAAAAGCCCTGGTCATTCAGAAGAATCTCCACTCTGTGGTCGCAGCGACCGTCACGGATAGTCCGACTGTTATCATATGTGCATTTATGAGACGGGTTATTACAAATGAACCTTCATAATCAGAAAACACTACAGAGTCTTTAACAAACCTGATATTATTATTTGCTTTTAATTGACTTTAATCATTGTTATAACAATAGTGTGAGAGTTATTGAATTGTAATGAACTATGAGATCTAGGGTGGATGTAAAGAAAACAATTTATGAATAGAAATTCCCAAACTTTTGATTTGTTCCTTACAAAAATGTATAATGTGACTCCAGAAAACATGGACATGCCTCAAAAGTCGTTCTTTTCTGGTGTTTTTGTCTTTTTAAAGCTTGTAAGCTGAACTCTCCATGAAATTGCATGCAAAATCTATATAATGATAAACCAATACAAACCCGCTAAATGTGATCACACAACCTGGTCTTGTGTTTGAGCTCTTCAAGATCTCGATTGCATCCTCTTGAAATAAGCAAGCATCTACCCTAGATGTGGAAACACATTATACAGATACAATTAATAATATTGATAATGTCATTCTTCATTTAAACTTTTCCATAACAGTGTAAACAGATGAAGGCCATGAACTACAGATGGGTGGATTCATTTGCTTTGTAAGATTATCTGATATAGCAACAGCATTGCAAAATTGCTAAACTGCCAAAATAAATAAATAAATGAATAAAATAACAATTATATATAACAACAATAAAGAAATACAATAGTTCCTTTGTTTACTAAACCATTTTGTGTTTCTAAGGTTTTCAATTCCTCAAAGGTGAGTGACTGTGTGATCAGTGTCATTAATTCATAGACTTTTATTGATTTAGTTCACTAAAAAATGTAACTCTGTCATTCATAACCTGTGTGTCTTTCTTTCTTCAGCAGAACACAGAAGAAGATATTTTTAATAATGCTGGAAATAAAACAGTATTTATTTATTGTATTTCTTGTCCAAACAATGGAAGTCAATGGGATCTGAAAGTGTGTGTTAAACAAGTATTCGTTAAAATAACATCTTTTGCTCCTCAGAGGAAAACAGGTTTGGAACAACATGAGGACGAGTAAATGATGACAGAATTCCCCTCTTTAGATGAACTATCCTCTGAATATTAAATACACAGTTCTCATCAACAGACACATTCACATAGAAACAGGACAGAGGAGATTTCAGATGTTTCTCACTTGAGTTCGGTTAGACTGGGGCACTTCTGGCTCATCTGGAGGATCTGAACAAACCACTTCTCATTTAGACACTTCACCCACATTTTCATCTTCTCCAGGTTAGAGAAGGAATGAAGAACAGACAGGAATGCATTGAAATCCCTTTGGTGAATTATCTGATAAAGTCTGGTCCAGTCGATGTTGATTGATGAGAGTGGAAAGGTGAGACTGCATGATCGCATATCCGGGGAGCCATACAGGAAAAACTCTATGCAGATACTATTAAAAAAAGAAATAAGAAATAATATTGTTGTTGTGTCTATAACTCAATCATTTATTGCTTAGAATATTGTTTTGTGATAAATGAAAAAAGTTGATTAATTGGGTTTTTTTGTTCACCAGCCAATATTTGCAGTAGTCAAAAAAGATAAGTATACACCATATTTTTTTAACTGTTTTGGGAGACCAGTTTAGTTGCATTATTACTATTACAATTATAATCTATTATGTGTAGACCAAGGATGCCAGATAAACGGGAGAACAAGTTGATGATTTATTTGGTTATACAAAACATAGTAATCATATAATTATTTCTGGTTATCATGAAAAAAAAAACTATTTGATGAAAAGAAAAAATTCAATTCTTCTTCACCTGGACGGCTCTTTGTTGATTGACAGAAGTGAGATGTCTTGACGTGATTGGAGATTTCTTTTTTCACGAACACTGTAAATCAAAGCACAGAAAAAATATACATGAACCAAAAATTAAACAAAAGCACATTAAAGGATGATAGCACGTGTGCATAAAACACAATCAAATGTATAATATATATTTAAAACATTACCGCTGTGAGCTCAGGGTCTGTCCTCTCGTGAGAGCGTTGATCAGTTCAATGAGATCAGAGTCTGATGGATCTTCTATAGACACGCTTCAAAATCAAATCCAGAACATCACTGTACAGACTAATAAAGTTTAACTTGCAATAGCAAATTAGAGACTAAATATTAACTACATCCACCAAATATCTGTTTTAGACCAGCGCATTTACCTTACTTTTTTAAACTTGTGAAGTTCAGGCAAAATCATAGACAGATCTTCCGATGTTAAAAACAAAGAGATGCCTTCAATTCTCTGACAGCACTGACAGCAGTACAGCAGGGCACAGACGTCTGCTCTACTGAGGAAACACATTCCTAGATCCATCCTTTCCCAGGATCCCATTACTTCTTTCACAAAGTCTTCTTCATGAAGTTCATAGAGACAGTGAAGAATAAATTCTCCTCCCAGATCCAAGAAACCATCTTTAACCTTTTCCAGAATCCATTCTTTCAGATGATCTTGTGTTTCTGGACGAATTAACAGACCATGTTCTTCAAGTGCGAGTCTCACATCCTGATCCTTATTCAACAAACCAAATGCAAATTGCATCACAGCTGCAAAATGTGGTTTTGAGGAACAATCCATTAAAAGTTTCCTCAGGGACTTTTCTCCATCCAGAAGGACATAGTACAGAGCAGTGAAGAACTCCTGAAAGCTGAGATGCATGAAACTGAACATCGTCTCCAGGCGGACTCGTCTCTTAAACAGGATCTTGCACAAGAATGGATTTCCAGTCGGGTCTGAAATGGTTTCAATCACACTTTTCTCATCCAGCAGGACTTGCTGTTCCCGCATCCCTCTCTCTGCCAGCTGACCCAGACTCCTCAGCAGGGTCGGGACGGACTGACTCAAACCCTGGCAGTGATGCTTCAGAAGAGTGCACACAAAGTCCACGTAGATGGAGGTGGTTTCCAGTCCACTTGTCTTATCTGCTCCATCTTTGAATCGCTCCTGGATAGTTGTGCAGATGATCCAGCAGACGACAGGGATTGAGCAGGCAGTGATGAGGGTTTCATTTGCCTTCACATATGTATAAGCCTTCCTGAAACGTTCCTCATTTTGAAAAAACTTCTGGAAGTACTCCTCCACCCCCTTTTCTGAAAATCCCACAATCTCAGAGAAACGCTGATGTCCGTTGAGCAGTTTACTGAGTGTGTCCGTAGCTGTAGATCTGGAGGAGACCAGGAGGAAAGACTTTAGCAGGATTCGACGCCTCAGCAGGGCACAAAGAGTGTCCACAGGTCGGGCTTTCTGAAGCAGATCAGTGTGTGCTGACGTGTCATTATTAATGTCCTGTGGGAGTTTCAGCTCATCAAATCCATCAATGACCACAAGCACCTTCTCTGGCGACTGCTGTAAAATCTGTGAGATCTCATGTGATGTTAAACTACAACTGCAGCTCAAGATCTCCACCAAATTCATCTCGTCAGAAACGCGATTTATTTCTTTACACTTTAAGTGGAACACAATATCAAACCGCTCTTTGTAGAGGACACCAGATGCCCAGTCCATCATGATCTTCTGCACAGTGAAAGATTTCCCATATCCAGAGTTTCCCTGCAGTATCACAGAACGGGGACTGATCCCGTCTTCATCTGGGTCAAACAGAGAGTTGAGCTGGAGAGAGCCTCCACTGCTCCTGGACCTGAGGACCTGCTGGAAGCGCTCTCCACTGGAGCGGATCTCTTCTTCTCGCTCTATTCGATCTCTATGTTTCCGAAGGATCAGAGGATGTACGAAGCGCTTAGACAGCAGCACACGTTCACCAGGCAGTGAGTTATACTCAGTCACACACAGATAGTCGCTGCGGATCCACTTCTTATATTCGTCAATCACTGGGCTGATTTCTGTAGAAACAGTCCATGTTCAAAGTTAGTTTTTTTTCTGATTATAATACAGTAAGAAATTCCAGAGCAGGCAAATCGACCCCTCTTCAGTTAGTAAACATGGTGATGTTTTTTATGGGCGGAGCTTAGGTGGAGGCAGAACGATCCCTCTGGTCACTTATCATAGATTTTGACTTCTTGCTTTCAGTAGTACTTAATAAGAAAGACATTTCCCATGCCCTGGAAATGTACATTTCTATTAATGAATTAATAACCAATATTGAGTATTCACTGCAGCGAGTAATTGGTTGTAATGTTCATGTAGCTACATCAAGTTAACTGATCCAAATATTCATAATCGATTATAACAAGTTATGATTGATTATTAATATTTCATAGAGCTAATTCGCTACAATATTTTCTAGAAATAAAAATTACAGATACAACATTCATTTTTCATTGATTCTAGCACTCAACAAGGTGACATTTAATAATAATACTAATTTAAGCTCCTTATGTAGCCGAATCTGTGCTGGTTTGTACTGGCCGCCTCCAGTTTCCCCTTTGTTTTGCCTCCAGCTAGCGCCATGACGTAACTGTGACGTCTGTGTAAAAGGGGTCTATACCAACTAAATTACAAGGTCAATGGAGTGCAAGATTTAAAACATTATTATTAAATTCATCAGTCACCTGTGCTTTTGCCATGTCCTGTGGAGCCTGTAGAACATCAGACACACTTGATTAACATTTCACATATATTCAAACATTTTACTTCAATCCATCTATCTCAATATCTATCTCACTGTCTGTCCATCTATCTGTCTATTGTTATACAAATGTATTAGACAACCACCCAATGTAAGGTTTGTCCACAACTGTCCTAAATATGTACAGACTGCACATCCTTGAAAACACTAAAAGTACTCCGTCTATCCATAAGTGGAAATCCGCAAGTTATTTTTGCAATTTTTTTTTAGCAATTTTCTACTTCCAGTTTGAAAGACTGTGAAACTCTCAGCTGATCCACATCTATCTACAGGAATACGATGCCAATCACTGTATAAATTAGAGATGTACCGATTGACCGGCGAGTGACCGGAACCGGACGATTTTCACGTGATCGGCAACCGGCCAGTCAGTCTGACATATGCCGATTTTATGCCGGTCAAATGCACTCGGGCGCCGAATGATTAACATCGCACAACATCAGCATCACACGTGCACACAGAACGCACATGCAGGAAACCTCGTGAATTACAGCCGTTTAATCCCTTATTTACACCGCAAGCGTGAGCGGCGCAGATTTTCCGACTTGCATGTAAATCAATGAGTGCGTTCACACCGGGAGCAGGAGCAGCGCGAGCGTCAAGCAGGAGCGTCGCGTGAGCAGTGAAGCGGTTTCTGCTCTGTGTAACCTGTGTTTTTGCAGCGGTGCTAGCGCTCAATTAAAGTGAAAGCCCATTTTTGACGGAAAAAAAAGGATTTAAAAGTGCTCAAAATGCACAGAATTTGCATGTCGTATATTTTAACAAGAACTGGAGTAGGCTGTCAGAAAAGAAAATGTACCCTTTTAAACTTGTTTTTATTATTGAGTTTGAGTAAAAGTATATGGTGTTTTATAAAAAAAAAAATATAGAAAATAAATATTTGTGTTATTGAAAATAAAAAAAGTGGGGGACTTCCGGTCGAAACATCGTCAAGATAGTCACATAGAGAGAGAGCTCCCGGTTGAGCCAGAACAATTAAGAGAAATTCCCCCATACAAGACAAATAAATCATTTCATAAAAAACACAGACAAGGGGTCAAGAATCATAACACCACTTAGAGTAATAAAAATCCTCCGAAGACAGGAGGTGCAAAGGACGGGGCACAGAAACATTAGCAGCTAACAGGTTTAAGCTAGCAAACAACGTGAAGAAATGGGCAACTTGGAACTGATTCTGCGAGAATTAAAGGAGTTTCGCCAAGAAAATAAAGAACAATTAGAGACAATAAAAGAAGAAATTGTGAAGGTGAATACCAGACTGGACGAGGCAGAAGGACGAATTGAGAAAGCGAAGGAAAGAATCCAAAACACAGAGGAAGTCATTACTGCTATGCTAAAGATATACACCACGCTGGAGGACAAGCTGCTGGATCTGGAAAGTCGCTCCAGACGCGATCACATACGGATTTATGGGGTGCCAGAGGGAGCCGAAAAATAATCAACAACGATGGTCTCATTTGTGGAAAATTTACTCCTTGTGGGTCTCGAGTTAACTGATGACATGCCCGACCTGCAGATTGAAAGAGCTCATCGGTGGACGAGACCGCCACGCTCCATCATAATTAAGTTTTTAAGTTTCAAAACAAAAGTCATTGCTCCGCAAGGCATGGCAGAGGAAGGGTTTTTCCTGGCAAGAAAATCATATAAACCTGGATCACGACTATCCACCTCTGATACTCAAAAAACGAAGAGAATATTCAGAGATCCGCAAAGTGCTGAAGGAAAATAAAGTTCAGTTCCAGACCTGCTTCCCAGCCAGGCTGCGCGTGAAACACAATGACGGAAACAAAACCTACGATACTACAGAGGAGGCATCAGAGGACCTGCGGAGAAGAGGCTACACGGTAACAACCACCACCAGACCTCCGGAGACGCTCATGGAGCAGGTGCAGCGATTATCCTGGAACAGAGTAGACACGAGCGAGGAAGGATGCACTCGAAGCCGGACCAGAATCACGCTACAGGGAGAAACTCCGAGCCTTCAGGAGATCACCGGCCCCCTCCGAGACCTTAAAGGGTTAGTTCACCCAAAAATGAAAATTAAGTCATTAATTACTCACCCCCATGCTGTTCCAACCCCGTAAAACCTTCGTTCATCTTCAGAACACAAATAAAGATATTTTTGATTGAATCTGAGAGCTAGATCACTCCTTCATAGACTGCCTAAGGGACTGGCTCTTGACAGCCCAGAAAGTCATTAAAGAAAATGTTTAAATATTCCATGTGCCCACAGCGGCTCAATTATAAGTTTATCAAGCGACGAGACTACTTTTTGTGCGAAAAAAACATAAATAACGACTTTATTCGACTATTCTATTACTTCCTTATGGGCGCATGCGCGAGAACTGAGACGAGGATGTTCACCTTCGACTACTTCTTGTTACCGGCTGCTCACCGCTTAGGAGTATTACCGCCACCTACCGTATAAGATGACGATCCATATATAAGGCGCTCCGGATTATAAGGAACACTGTCGTTTTTTGAGAAGATTAAAGGCTTTTAAGTGCACCTTGTAGTGGGGAAAATACGCAAATTGAAAAGCGTATGTACAGCGCGCATCTTCCTCTGCTTGTAAACAGAAAGTTTTGCGCTTCCAGCTATATCAGCACATCATCTTATACAGTAGGTGGCGGTAAAACTCCTAAGCGGTGAGCAGCCGGTAACAAGAAGTAGTCGAAGGAGAACGTCCTCGTCTCAGTTCTCGCGCATGCGCCCATAAGGAAGTAATGGAATAGTCTAATAAAGTCGTTATTTATGTTTTTTTCGCACAAAAAGTAGTCTCGTCGCTTGATAAACTTATAATTGAGCCGCTGTGGGCACATGGGATATTTAAACCTTTTCTTTAATGACTTTATGGGCCGTCAAGAGCCAGTCCCTTAGGCAGTCTATGAAGGAGTGATCCAGCTCTCAGATTCAATCAAAAATATCTTAATTTGTGTTGTGAAGACGAACGAAGGTCTTACGGGGTTGGTACAGCATGGGGGTGAGTAATTAATGACTTAATTTTCATTTTTGGGTGAACTAACCCTTTAAGGATTTAACCCAAGTTTGAGGACGATGGAGTTAATTGTGAAATTTCTTGAACTGTACAGTGGTGGAGTTTTATGGCAGGATGGACTGGTTCGTTCGGGACTAACTTTTCATATATGAACCTTCTAATTTTATTTTATTTATTTATTTTTTAATATATATATATATGAAGAGTTCAGATGCAAAAGCCTCTAAGTGCCATTTGAAATTTTCTTCTTTAATGATCATTTTTATCAAGCTTGTATATTTAAGTTCAGTAATTTCACTTAAATGGCAATGAAGATTACCTATTAATTGCCATTTAAGTGAAATTACTGAACTTAAATATACAAGCTTAATAAAAAATATAGCTGCGAGCAGCGATGGCGGGCCCAAGCTGGTGGCACCGCAACCCCGGTTCCTTTAGTTACCTAAATGCACCCTGGTGGCGGTGCCAAAGGCTTTGGCCCATTTATGATTAAATATTAAAACTGCTTGCCATACTCTGTCATTTCGACTAGTTACAATTATGTTACAGATATCTTAAATGATAATACAAACTATCCAAAATGTAATTACGAATAGACAGAAAGACGTTGTTGATATCTACAATGTTAATTCCGGACAGGCAAACTTAGCTTTTAAATGTTAAAAGGGCTTGCCATACAGGGACGTAGGCTCAGAGAGAGGCTCACCATATTCAAACCAAAATATCTGACTTCCTCTTGGTCCGAGCTAATGACTATGTATTAGAAAGTTGTCCGGCTTGAGGAGTACAATGTATATAGCGATTTTTGTAACTGTAGATAAAACTAACAACCCCACTTTTGTCAAAAGGTGGCGCTATTTAGTCCTTGCACTATGCCCGTTTCTGAAACTTTGCACATGTCTACTGGCTAATAAATGTGATGTATCTGTTGAGTTTCAAGCAATTTCAATTTCAATTTCAATTTGACTGTTGAAAAGAAGTGCGCCGATTAGATACTCAGGATCGGTATCGGCTCTGACACTGCCATCTTTGACGAGGCTGATTCAAATTCTATATTGTGCATATATACTAGTCTATGTTAGGCACAAAGGCACAAAAACTTTCTAAAGTACCATAAAGTTTTTGTGTACTGTATTATTAGTGTTCTGAAGCTATTATGTGATATAGAAATTAATATTTAAGTCATTCAATTCAAGAACACAAACTTTTCCCTCTCTGCGCCTGTCAGTCATTCTCCATTCAGCATTCAAACAGCACGTCTCATTCGGTTACAGTCAATGATGAAACGATCTTCAAGATGATTCAATGTTAATCCTATTATACTGGATCTTTAAGATAAAGGTCTAAAGGTCTATATTTTCGAATGAAGAAACTTTTTCTTGCTGGACTTTATTGCTGTAACTTAACCGTGTTACTTTCTACCGGGTGTCGGACGCTGTCGGTTAGATCACAACACTAGAGTCAGAGCACTATAATTGTTCTTCACGCACACAGTAACTGAAATTTAAAACCTTTAAAAGAAAAGGCTCAATAAACTATTGCATAGATAGATAATGTATAATACACTGTTCATAAATATGTATTTCCTTTGTGCTTTGAACTTTTCAATACGGACTCACTGCGCTGTAACTTCATGTGGCTTCAAGCACATCATTCTCCGCTCGGGATGCACATAAGTGCTTTGTGCTGCACCGTATTGGAGCCGTAATATCATAATGCAGTGACGTAATGACAGATTATTAATTGCCTTTCAATTATATGTTGCTGCGTCATTAAACATCTGTCCTATGCATTTCAAACATTTATAGCAGCCATGGCTATATTTTTTTATGATTTTTGTTATCTTGTTTTTCATTAATGTATTTTTCAAAAATAAGAGCAATGTGTATTATCTATTATTAATATGGTTTATAATAGCATTTTTGTCATAGATTATGACAAAGTAATCATAT